AGGGAAGCTGGAAGGGCCAGATCCCCTGGAAATGGAGTTACAGACAATGATGAGCCACCATGTGAGTCCTGAGATCTGAACCCAGAACCTCTGCAACAGCTGCAATTTAACCTGTGCACTAGAAAGGCGGGCTTCTCAAATGCAGATGCCCCATTGCCTGCAGAGGTCCACAGCATGAGCATATAAAACCCACTGTGACACTTAGAGGTTGCTGCTTTGTCTACAGAGGCATAAAGGTGTGATCCAGTGGTCACACAGTATAAGGGTCTGGGTGTACACATGCAACAAAAGACAGGTGACTGACAAATGCACAATAGCTTTGCCAGTTTCCTTAACCAGGAGCCTTCAGAAGATGCTGTGACTGGGAAGCTGAGGGGGGACTGCTACTGTTTTGTGTAAGGAAGCCTGCACAGTCATGTAGAGGTGCTCATGTGACAAACTACCAGGGATACCTGGGATGGGCTCTGTCTTGGAAGTCTTCTCAGCCAGCTCTTGCACAGAAAGGCCATGGAAGGAGGGAAAAGTACTCTCAGCTTCCAGCTGTTCCCTGGTTCTAGCTTTTATAGTTTACCTCAGGAAGAAGGGGTATAGAGATTAGGTCAGAAAGGTCTCACTTCTGGACCCCCTTGTTCAGGGTGTCACTTCCTGAGCCCCATGAGTTTAAAATATCCAGGCTTCACAATGGCATTCACAGCAATCCATTTAAACACTCCACGTTTATTTAAAGTGTTGTTGTTGCTGAGTAAATATTACACTGATAAGTGTAGGTGTTGTTTACTGATGGTTTATGAAAGTGGGTTCTCTATTGAGATTTTATAAATGATGCCATGTCACATCTGCTAGGCAGGGCCTGGTGATTAGGGAACATTCCAGGAAACAGTAGAGAATCCCCCACTGTAGTTAACCACACCTAAGAATTTATCTAATCTCTGGTGGCAGAGGACAGGTGAATGAAAGACCTGCTTTGTGTCAGAAGCCAAGCATTCCTCTGCTCTCCCATTCCGTTTTGATTTGACTACCAAGGTTTGCTCCGCTAGAAGACGATATAACAGATTTCACCAGAGTCTCAAAAGGTTTGGTCACCACCTAGTGGATGATTGAGGAGCAACCACTAAGATAACTGCCATTCTCACATAATCTAAGCCTGGATTTTGTACCTCCGATTTGGTGACTTTGGCTAATATCAGAGAACCATTTCTAACCTAGCACCACGACTGCTGCAGTTTGGCATTCTTAGAGCACATGCTTCGCTGTCAGAAGTGACTTTAGGAAGACGTTGCAAAGACCTTTGGAAAGGCTTACGGCAGACCAGGAAGTCCTCTACCAGGACTTCCCTCAAAAGCTGACTGCCTTCCAGACGAGTGAGTTGAGGTGTGAGCTCATTGTGACACAGTGTTGCTAAAATTCCCTCTGTGGAGGAGACGTGAGTGATGTCTACCCTCCTCCAAAAGTCCCAATAATAAACCAAGATAGGGTACGGTCAAAGTGCACTCTGGGAAAACAAAGTTTCTTAGGCTTCCTTACAGGATGGTGGTGGCTGCCACAATAGTGTCCGTGGTCTCAAAGCAGCCACATAGGAAAGACTTCACACAGTGTGGACAAACCTTCCCCCATGGCTATGTAGATGGAGCCCATATGCTCTAGCCCCTCCGCGCCTCACTCCCACAAAGCCAAGCACAATTGCATATATGTGGTTAGGAATGGCTGGACACTCTGGTGAGGGTCCCATGATCCTTTTCATCCTCCGGTGAGGGGAAGTCAAACGTCAACAATCCAGCTGTGGTGATCCTTTGCACGAGGGCACAGCAGAACGCAGGGTGATGGTAGCAAGTTTGGCTGAGAGGATAGTCCTACAGAGCACACACAGTGGACCAGCACACACAGTGGGACAGCACACAGCCTGCTCCTCTCCTGCCTACTCCTCAGCCTCTTTGAGGAAGACAATGATTCACATAGTTCACAGTCATGCACCTCTGACAAATGAAACAGCATAGCGGCGCTTGCTCAGATAGCCAGACAGTATCAACATGAAGGTCAGGGGAACAGAATCCCATCCTCGGCAATTCTCAGGAATAATCAGAAAATAAAGACCCATTGGAAAGACAACTGCATTAAAAGCAATGAGAGAAATCACATCAAGCCAGAAAGTTCCAGATAATGTTTGTTTAATTTGTCTAAAGGAAGGAAAAGTTCAAGTTCACAAAAGCTTACGTGACTTGTTTTTTTTACATACAAAACCAAACACACAGCATTACAACAGCAAATGAACATGCTGAATGTGTTCATAGCACTTTAATACAACCTTCTCCATGTACACAAATAAACAATAAACACTGTTGTTACCTTTCAATACAGTACCGCCAGGAGTTCAGAGTTCTACCTAACTGTTTAAGGAAATGAATGGAAAGAAAGATAAAGATTGTGTAAGCCACCTAAGAAGCTATCCTTAGGACTTTGTAGAACATAATCTCAATAAGGCATAGGTTCAGAATGAGCCTTCCATTTACGTGAAGACCATGACGTGTCTTCTCCCCCCAAGGGCTGTGACAGGCCACAAACTCTACGTCCTTCAAGTCGGTTACAAATCTCCAGCCCCTTTGGTCATTTAAGATTTAGGAAATGGACCAAGCCAAGCCATCAGTGAATATTTAGAGCCTTTTGTGATTTTTTCCATTCACTGATATTATTAAGTCTGAAATACTATTTTCCTTATATTCTTCCTGGTTTTGACAGGTTTTAATGGGAGGGCCATGTAACCATCCCTGAAGTGAAAAGCACTTCCCAGAAGGGCACTCCTCTGGCACTGTAGCTGGATACTCTGGTTTGGCCTTGAACTGACTGAGTTCACAGTAGAGTGCCCAATGTTGTCTACTTGCCTACATGGGGTATGTTTTCAGGGATCATGGAAAAAAAGCTGTCCTCAAATAACTACACTTAATGTGGCTGTAACAAACCGTGCTGTTCAATAGCACCCAGATCCTATCCAATAACACTGTTGAACTTGGGCAATTAACCTGGGCAAAGAGGTAAACAAAGTCACTGGTCTTCAGGTTTCTAGGGCTGTCTAAACACAGGACAAGAATTCTAGTCCCTAGATCAGGAACCGACTTGTGCTGGGAATGAATGCATGAGTCACCTTCTTTGCATTCCTCAGTTGTGACAGTTTCAGCGAAGACTCCCATCCAGTGAGGGAAAAGGAACTTCACCTTGTCTGTCAGGGTCTAAGAGACCCACATGGATGTGTAACAGGAAAGAAACCCTGTTAGTGCTGCTCTAGGAGGCATATACTTATGTACATGTACATGACATCATGCTTACATTTAATGGCCCTGAAGCTTCCAAAGGATCTGCATAAAATTCTAGAGAAAGAAAAAGGGAGGTGCCAGTCATGGTTCAAACAGTCTGTGCTCCAAGGAGCAGCAAAGTGGACACAGGGCCTCCCTCAGATGGGACGAGGGTATGGGGTGGTATCATTCTCCCAACACAAGGTGCATACCATGGGCAAATGTGGACACTGCATCTGTGGGCTGCCTGCAGCATAAATGGATTTTGGTCACATAAATAGGCATGGGTCTTCATGTAATAACATGTTTTCTCCAGGGGAAAAGTACAAAAAGACCTGAAAATAAAGTCTGAAAGAAAAAGGGCTGAAAAAAAAAAAAGTTCAGTGTGTTAAAAACCATGCTTTACAGAGCATTGGACATTTAACCTTTACAGCTGGTTTTAAATAATACACATTTCAGTCACAGACACCTGGGGCCATGTGAAGCCATTGTTATTTCCAACTGCAACATGTAATCTTTGTCCTTTGTCTCAAAGGTTAAAAAAAAAACAATAGAATAACCATGCCTAAAACAAAGGATGAAGCTACTAACTGCAGTCCTTAATACACAACCACTGTCTATGAGGCAGCACCCAGAAAGGTCTACAGAAGCACATTGAAGAAAGTGCCCCGGGCAGAGAGGACGAGCCTGTGTGGGAGGCAGGAAACCAGATAAGAACACTCAGGATATTATCCAGTTATTAAAACTCTCTCACTCTGTCTCTCTGTCTCTGTTTCTCTGTCAGTCTCTCTGTGTCTGTCTCTGTCTCTCTGCCTGCCCCCCCCACCCCATATATCTGCTCCCTCCCCTAGCCCCAGGCATAATTAGAAAACTCTGCTCTTACAAACGGAAATAGACCCTTAGTTTTGACCCTGAACAACAGGATATGGTCCCTAGTCAGCAGTTTAATGACTTACATTTGAGTAATCCTACAAATTGCTCATGGCTACCCAAAAGTCTAGGGTGCCAAGGCTGTGTACAGACAGCAGCAACATTGGTTGGGCCCTTTGTCTTCCTCTCTGGAAAAATCCACAAACTTCAGTTAAGAGAACTCAGAAATGGGCTAGGGCATTACCACTGGACTTAAAATGCCTTTTAAAATGCATCAGATAGGTGATCCGGATGACTTTGCCTCTGGCAAGGAACTGCTTCAGATAAATGACCCTTAAAATAGAAATGCCTGTGCTCCCTAACTGGAATGGAATTGAGGCTGGGGGGATGGGGCAACAGATGAGAGAAAGACAACAGACACAAATTCTGCTTGAGGGTTTATGCAAAATAAAAAGGCAGTGAGCCAGCAGGGCCTTTCTTCCACCACACACTAGGGTTTCTTTCTTAAAGCAGCACACACTGTTTCCCACACTACAGAAACAGGGACACTGGAACTGGTCTAAACTGGCTGCCTGGCACTGCTGTTTCAATCCTTTGTATCATAGACACTTGGGTTAATTTTTACCTACAGGGCCCTCGAACGCTTAAGACTGTCTATACAAAGAACAGTTTACTAAGCCTTCCTGAGACCTCAGAAAGTAACTGTTGAGACAGGCTGTGGTAATGGAGAGCCAGCTTGAGTCAGTTACAACAAATGGGTTCAAGCTCTCCACCACGTTGGGGAGAGCTCGAGGTTTTTTTTAGACATCTGCAGGTCTTTATAGTTCTTTACCTGGGGGGGGGGGGGGTCACTTTAACTTATATGTGCTTTGCTTGGTTCCGTTTGTTTTGAGTTTTTTCTCACTGGATGAAGGGGCATAGCCACAGTTACTTGCACTCCCCTTTTTCTTCAGGTCCACATGAGCCTGTGTCCTGGAGGCCCTATAGGAATCCATCTGGTCCAGAAGCACTGCAGATTGCTTGGGAATTCGGATGTTACCGTTGGCTTCCATTGCAGGGTTGCCCTCTGCACAGGGTGGAGCACGGAGCTGAAGCTTGGGGCCCTTACTTGATTTCTTCTTCTTCTCCATCCTCAACTCGGGGGCTTGCTTCTGGGAACACAGCCTGGGCCGACCAGGCCCATCCACTGAGTTAGGCAAAGTCTCAAATGCATAGTAGGATGGGTGGGCTTCTTCATGGCGAAAACCTTTCTTTCGAGAAGGGCCTGACTTTGAAATCCCTTCTGGGGATGGTAAGGGCTTAGACAGGGCACTGGTAAGAAGCTTACCCCGTCCAGGGCTTTTCAGCACCCCAGAGGCACCAGGGGCCTTGACCTTGGCGGCTCGGGCCTTCTCACACTGCACAGTCTGGACTTGCAGCCACTCTAGTTGAAGAAGTCTGTCTATGTACTTCCCAAGGAAGCCTGTGGCCCGAGGTAGGGCCTCGCTCCTACATTCTGTGTTCAGAACAACAGCCATATCCCTCAGGTCCCAGGAATTGAAAGGAGGCGGAAGAAAGTCAGGGTAAGAGTGTCCAGACTCTGCCTGGCTCGGCTCTGGGTGAAGACTGAAGGAAACCGGGTCTATCTCTTCGGCTCTGAGGTTGAGGTCTGGAGGCGTGAATGGAGAAGAGGGGATGGGCACTCTTTCTGAGTCTGACAGGTCACTGGCACTGTCCTCATCAGCACCTCTCTTGATGATCTCCATGGAGTGGAAATCAAGGAACAGCTTGCTCCCAGAGGCAGCCTGATACCCGGAGCTGAGCGCAGCCCGCTCCTGACTTCCCTCGGCAGGAACGGTTTCCATGACTTTATCTGCTGCTGGCTGGGAGATACCAAGGAGGCTGCTCCTCAGCTGGGAAGAGACATGGGGTCCTTGCGGTCTACTTGGCCTTTTCCCTGAAGAAGTCTTTGAATGCTGAACTTGAGTCCAAGATGAGCCAGCATCTATACTGCTATAAAAAAGGAAAACCATAGTCTAGTTATTGATGGCTAGAGAAAGAAAAGGCCCTGCTAGCACTTGGGTTGTTCCGACTGTGAGCCCTCCAGGTGCTTTATAGAAGCTGATTAGCAACACTGTTTCCCTTCGGTATTCTAGGCACCCACAGTAGAGAATGACTGCCCCAAATGTGGATACATACAGACCATTTAATGGCAACAATGAACATCCAAAAACTTAACCATTTTTCAATGTGGTTTACTTTAAAAAAAAAAAATCATTCTTTAAATGTACCATAAAACTCTTGGTCTGTTCTAGTAGCAGTCAACAGTGTTTGAAAATACTCAGAAATGCAGCTGGGCTTGTAAGCACGTGCCTTTAATTCCGACACTTAGGAGGCAGGGACAGGCAGATCTCTGAGAATTCAAAGCCAGCCAGGGATACTTTGTCTCAAATCAATCAATCAATCAATCTTGGGAAATATTCAGACATAAACCCTGCAGCCCCCTTTTGTAGACAAAATTTAGGGGAAGTGTAGATACAACGTCAAGTCAAAAGTTTTGCAGGCTGGACTGTGGGTCAGTGATGGCTTATCTTTTTTGCATGTGCAAAGCCTCAGGTTTAACTCCTGCTACCTAAAAATTCTGGCAGATTTTTTCGCTGTTTTTTTAATGTGTGTGTATGCAAATATTTTAACGTGTAGGTATACATACATGTTTTAACATATAGGTATAATGCATGTTTTAATGTGCGCATATGTGCATATTTTTGCATGTATGTAGGTTCAATGTGTGCACATGTATGTGAAGCTCAAAGCTGACATAAATCATTCTTAATCTTCCACCTAATCACTGAGGCAGGGTTTCTCAATCAAACCCAGAGCTTATCCATATGGGTAGTCTTTCTTTGACATTTGCTTTTATTATTTTTAATTATATGTATAGTAGGTGGGTGCTTATATGCACGAGACTAAAGGAGCCAGGCCAAAGGCATCAGATCCTTTTAGAGCTGGTGTTAAGGAGAATTGTGAGCCACCTAACGCGGTTGCTGGGAACCAAACTTGGGTCCCCTGCAAGAACAGTATGCACTCCTAAGCAATGAACCATGTCTCCAGCTAGATATGGCTGTCTTGCCAGCCAGCTTGTTCTTCTTCTTGGTTTATTTCCCAACCACACGTTCTTTAAGGGTGGTTTAAATACACACAAAATACACACTAAAGGTAACAGTGCTTCCTTATGACAGGAGTCAGATGGGGAGACATGGGCAAGGGTACTTCCTTGGAAGCTGAGAGGAAGTGGACAAGGATACTTCCTGGAAGCTGAGAGGAAGTGAGCAAAGTTACTTCCTGGAAGCTGAAAGAAAGTGAGTAAAGGCACTTCCTGGAAGTATCTTCCTTGTGCAGGGATCCCAACAGTACTCAAGAATTATCTAAAGAAGTGCCACCCTTGTTAGGAGTATGGGCTGTGTTAGTTCAGTGCAGCCAGGCTGTTACTGGGAATTCACAACTGTTAACATTTTTATTTGCGGACTGGAGAGATGGCTTGGCAGTTTAGAGCACTGGCTGCTCTTGCAGAAGACTCTGGGTCAGTCCCAGAACCCACTTCTAACTCCAGTTCCAGGGGATCCAATGCCTTTTTCTGGCTTCCCAGGTACCAGGTATACAGGTGCACACAGGCAAAATACTCATAAAATAATACACACAAATAAATACACAAAATAAAAATAAACAAATCTCTAAGATAAGTTGTTCACAACCAGCTGCCATGATACACACCAGCCTTTGGCAGCATCCCTCCCCTCTGTACAAGAGAAGGCCAATGGACAGTGGCTGACTGACACTAGCTAATGAAGCTTGAAGACACTGGTCTACTCATCCCTGCTGTAATCAAAGCACAAGTGAAGCTCACTCGGGAGAACCAAAGGATTTGCCTTTTGCAGGACGAGAGAGGATGTGAAAACCTGTTACCTGCTTTTCTGATGACAGTCCCTCATCCTATTCCTCGTCTTGAAGAGGTCACAGGGCTGCTCATCATCTGAGGTTTGATGGGTTGTCTAAAAAAAAAAAATACAGATTACTAAACAGAAAGTACTGTGTGAACTCACATGCCTGTGCACAAGTGCACACGTGCGCACACACACACACACACCCCGCAGTAGCAGAACCATCTTCCTGGCATGACATGACTGTTACTGTCTTGAGTCAGATCAGCTGATCATCCACAGGAGATATCTGCACGATCAGGCCTACTAGTTTCCCTAGCAGAAAGAAGTCACAGGACACCCTAGAAAGACAGGGCTTATCAACGTTCCCCAATTGACGGAGCTGGAGAGGAAAGTCAGATCTCCACCCGAGGGGCCCCTTCCCTCCCTCTATCCTGCCTTTGCCAGCAGCCTGTCATGCCTACTTCCCCAACAGCATGTGGTCTTGGGAGCAGTAGAGTGGACAGGAGGTAGAAGGTGTTGGGGGTGGGGTGGGGTCCAGGGACGCTACTTTAGTGCATTGTCCCTTATACTGTAGAGGATGTGGCTGCATTTGAGTTACTCATGTTCCTATAAGTGACCCCAATAAATTCACTGGTTCTCAGAGATGGACTTCAAAGGAAATATTTATAGGGGTACCCTATCTAGTGGTTTTAAAAAATAAAACAAATCATTACTTGTTATATAAATAATTGGAACAGAACACACACACATCATACGCAATATACACATACACGCACAAACACAGACTCGCGCACCTAAAGCATACGGCAAGAAAGTACTGAGACCAATCTAAGCAAGAGTTTCTCTTGGAGTTACATCACCTTCTCTGCAGTACTCAGAATATTCTTGCTCAATCTGCTGCCAGATGATGACAGCTGGGGAGGTGGCTTCTTTATTCCCCTTATCTTCGGAAAGGCTGAAGGGCCACCGGAACTGGAAACAGCAGAACACTGACGGTAAGTACTGCCTGTAACTGGCCCCGCCAGCTGCTCTGTATGTTTGGCATCTGTATTTGGACCACACTAAAACCTTGAAGCTGTCTGTGGCTGTGCAGGCTCAGCATTCTGCACTATGAAATTAGAAATGGGGCGGGGGACAGGGTACTGTATGTTTACAGTTTGACTATCTGTATGTGGTAGAGGAGTGTGCATGTGTGAGTGTGGATGTCCTCAGATCCCTGGGAGCTAGGGTTGTATCTGTGAGCACTGCCGGGCAGTTGTGAGCTGCCCAGCAATGGTGCCTGGAATGCTCACATTTTTCCCCTTCATGGTGGCCGTTAAGCAGAAGACCACTCAGTGAGTGCTGTGAACGGATTCCAAACCCCACCCATACACAAGTATATCCACTCCCTGGAAATAATATCAATTAAATTTGCCTTTTACACTAAAGCTCCCCCTGACTATTCATTCATGCCCTCATCCAGTAATTGCAAGACAGTCTAAAAAGTGCAGACTGTGCATGAGGAGGCCCTGATCCCACAGAGATACAACTCTGGAGGGGAAGGGGCATCCCTGAATTCTTCTATCTTCTCTGTCATACCAGACCACTAATCATCAGTTCTGGACTGGAGAGACGGCTCCAGAGTCAAGAGCTACTGACCCTCCAGGGATCCCCAGTTTAGCTTCCAGCACTATGTAGGTGGCTCACTAAGGCCTGTAATTCTAGTTCCAGGCCAACACCCTCCCAGAGCACCTGCATTCACGTGTGTATACACATACATGTAATTTTTTAAAATTTCAAAGATCATCAGTATACTAATGCCTGTTATATGGTGTCTCAGTATGAAGTGCAGTCATAGTTCCTGTTATGAGGGGCCTGTTGAAAAAGCATGCCTGGAAACTGAACATTTTTTTCCCATCATTCCCCAGTCTCCGTCAAATAGAAAAGAGATGTGATCATGGGAGATATCTGAACCAACCCTAGGCTTTCCCACCGTAATTATGTAAGACTTTTAGGTTTGCATGTGCAGATAACAAAAATCATAACAGGGTCTTCATGGTCAATTACCTCACAACCGACAGGCTTGACTCCTTTTAGATGGAGAAATCGTTCTTGGCCCATCCTCTATCTTTACCCTGATCTTTCTGCGGCAAAGTGGGAAAGAAACTATGACAGAATGTCTTGACCCAGGCGCACTCTTTAGTATTTGTAGTGCCATCCGGACCCCTCATCTACCTGACAAACCTGACACATAGTCGCATGTGTGAAGTTCCTCAGAGAAATAAAAGCCTACGATGCAATCAGGATGCTGGAGTGGGGAAGGCAAACCGAGAGGGGGTGGAGCGTATAGCTTCAGCTTGCATAGCAGCAAAACTAAAGCTCAAGAGATCCTGGCTACAAAAATGCTCCTCAAGAGCCAGAGGGCAGCTGTACAATCCATCACAGGTATTAGCCCCTTTCCCAGTCTTCCTCTCTGGCTGTAAGCCCAGCTAAGGGAAGCAGCATCCCTCCCCACCCCCTCCTCCCCGGGGAACTGGCTGCCTGGCCAATAGGGAGGCACAGCATGATGGGGAGGTGTGGGCATGATGCTTCCCTCAGCAGCAATCTTTCCTGGGTCTGGCCCCTGGTCCGGGTTGCTGGAAAAAGGTGGCCAGAGCTGGCTGACTGGCCGCTCACCATAGTCCCAGGGCCAGCTTGCGCCAGGCCAATCTTGGCTGGGCTCTGTCCCGCCCCCACCCGGTACTCCTCCAGCCCAAGGCCCCGCAGCAAGCACCCAGCACGTCCTAGGCTGCTGCAGACACCAACGCTGATGGATGGGTGCAGCGCGCAGGCACACGCACCAAGGAAACCCAGCAGACCTGCTCGGCGGCCTGAACGCACGTGACGAGGTTCCCGGGGGCGGCGGCTGCGCTGCGGCGGGAGGGTGGGGGCGGGGGTGGTCGCGGGCCGCACGATTCTGGCAGCGTGGGGCAGCGCCTGGCGGCTGGGCGAGCGCGGGGCAGGCGGGCGCGCTGGCTGGACGCGCCCGCGGGCGGCGTCACGAGGGGCGGGGCGCGCCGGGGGCGCGCCGGGAAGTTGCGCTTGGAGAAGTTGCGGGCGGCTGAGCGTCTGGGCGGCGGGGTCCCTGGCCTTCCCGTAAGCGCTCGGAGGAAGGGGAGAAGCGGGCGCCACCGTGCAGTGCGAACGCCCCGGGAAGCCGCCCTGGAGAGCGCCACCCGCCGCTCGAGACGGCCCGCTGCTGAGACCCGGGCCAGGCCGCGAGCACAGTCTCAGTGCTGGGTGCGGTGTCTCGGGGCTCCCAGAGGCTGTCCAGCCCTAACGCCCAGTGGCTCGGCGGTGACTCCCACCCTGCTGGGCCATGTCAAAAGCTCCTGGCTCTGCCTTGCTGCCCTCGACCCCGGAGTCCCGGAAACTCGCGCCCCGGAGCCTCAGCTGCCTCTCGGACATGGATCGGCGACCCTGCAAACCTCCGGGCTGCGACCCTCGCCTGCGGCCCATCATCCAACGACGCTCGCGCTCGCTGCCCACCTCCCCAGAGCGCCGGGCCAAGTCTGCGGGAGCCCCCGGCGCCGCGTGCGGAGCCGGCTGCAACCGGCAGGTCCGGGTGCGCTTCGCTGACGCGCTGGGCCTGGAGCTGGCGCAGGTCAAGGTGTTTAACGCAGGCGACGACCCGTCCGTGCCGCTGCACGTGCTGTCGCGCCTAGCCATCAACTCGGACCTGTGCTGCAGCAGCCAGGACCTGGAGTTCACACTGCAGTGCCTGGTTCCCGACTTCCCGCCGCCCATCGAAGCCCCGGGCTTCGGAGATCGCCTGGCACGGCAGCTCGTGTGCCTGGAACGTGTCACCTGCTCCGACCTGGGCATCAGCGGCACAGTGCGCGTGCGCAACGTGGCCTTCGAGAAGCAGGTGACGGTACGCTACACCTTCTCTGGCTGGCGCAGCGCACACGAGGCAGTGGCGCGCTGGAGAGGGCCTGCGGGTGCTGAAGGTACCGAGGACATCTTTGCCTTCGGCTTTCCAGTGCCTCCCTTCCTGCTGGAGCTCGGCTCCCAGGTACACTTCGCACTGCGCTATGGCGTGGCTGGTGCCGAGTACTGGGACAACAATGATGGTCGCGACTATAGCCTTACTTGTCGCAGTCATGCCCTGCACATGCCACGCGGGGAGTGCGAGGAGAGCTGGATCCACTTCATCTGAGCTGCAGGCTTCCATCTCTGCAGACCTTCAATCACTTCCCCACCATTGCAGCTCTCTCGGAGCCGCTGTCTCCCAACCCATCCTTCCTTCCCAGTGGTCTGGCCTCATTTCTCACTGTGAAGCCCTGCAGCGATAGCCTGGCTTGTCTCCTAGTGAATTCTCTGGAGAGCCTGGCGGTCAGAAGACCAGGAGCCTGTGTAATGCATTTTGGGGAGGGTTAGGGAGGGTTGATGCACCGGATTGTGGTCCTCAATTTCAGGAGGCCTCAGGTCAGTGTTTTGCAAGAAAGGCCTTTTGCATGTCTCCTCAATTTGTCCAAACACAGATAGCTGTTATTTATTATTGTGACGTTAGCCTTCCACCCGGGGTGGATGCTTTCTCAGGAATACTCTAGATTTAATCAGCTTAAAGAAGGCCTGTTGTCTGTTTGCAGCCACTGTAATAATTGTAAAAATACACAGTGTGGCCTGCATTATGGTCCCTCGAGGCATTTCTGCCCTGGAACGGTGAAAACCTGAGACCATGTTTGCTTGCCAAGTTCTGTAGCTCTCCAACAGTAGAAACTATTAATAGCGAAGGAACTTACATCTCATCTGTCATCACACAACCATTTCTGGGCTTCAAGGCTGCCCTGGTTAGGCGGTGCCTCCCACATCAACAGCTGGGAAAGAGTGGCCTGAAAAGCTTCCAACCGTTTAACTTAGCCCAGACGGTCATTCTCTTCTCTCCTGTTTCACACGTTTGTCTTCTACTGGTCTGGTTCCGGGTCTGCTTGTTAGTTTGTTTAAGTTTGAAACTACCTGAGCCTTTAAAAAGATCTTGCCTTAAGTAATTTATGTTTTCAAGTGGCCACAGGGATCCAGACAGGCGTGCCCTTTCCACGAAAAAGGTGACTTTTTAATTTCTAAGTATGGAAAGATTCCAGAGTTCGTATTTTGGAAGTCAGCTTCCAAATGAACCTGGGTGGTTCTCAGAATTAGCCAGGTCACTGGAGGAAAAATTAACTCACAGATTTTTATACACCTTATGGTTTTAAATTGAACTGTTATGTCAAGTTTTACAGATACTTGCCACTTTATTCTTTGTGCCTTCAGTTAGGAAAGTTGCTGACATTTTTTATGAGCTTATTTCCCAGTTTTAAATTGTTACATAATTTAAAAAACAAAACAACAACCAAAACCTCTAACTTAGCCCAGACTACTCACTGGTCCCTGCTGCTTAATGCCCCCATGGAGAGGCTGGCAAATATTTTTGGTGCTGAGCTTTGGTCTCTCCGACAGCAGGTGATAGAACTGAGGTGGACAAGACCTCCAAGATGTGACTTTTGCTTTGGAGACAGTGGATGTCCTGCGACAGACTTGGTGACACTCATGGTGAGTGTTGGATGAGTGTTGATAGTCATTAAATCTGCATGGCGGAGATGCATTTTACCCTGGAACCTATTAGGTTTTGATACTTGAAACTTCTGCCTTTTAAAATTCCATGAACAGTGTTAGGTTCCTCTGGTACCTTTCTGGACTGAGTTTGTTTAAGTTTGATTTTAAAATGCCATAATAAAGCCACCCAGCCTTTGGCCGTTGGGATTCTGCACTGTGTTGGCATTCAGGAGTGAGAAGAACCCAGTGGCATTTCCCACTGCTTAATGAACTGTTCAATTAGGTCAGCGAACCCTGGAAGGTGGGGGTGGGAGTGGGGGTCAGGACAGCTCTGTCCTTGGACCCTGTCCAGAGTGCAAGAGAATGGTCCAGACTCTTCAAGTAAAGTTGGAACTTCCTTCGGGAGCACTGATGCTCAAGAATGTGTGGAGAGTTTTATGATCCATGGGAAAGGTACTCACTTGTCCACAGGCTCTGGTTACAGAAAAGTAAGTGATGCATCATCAAAACTAAGAAAACCGGAAGGTGCCTTTTAAGCCATACCAACAATTTGAAATTTAAAACTTAGTGATAATTCTGTTTGATGAAATAAATAAAAGCTGTAAAGATCAATCGGGGTGAACTCTCTGACCGTAACTGTGCACTTGCTGAGTTGTGTTTTACTGCCTGTCACTTGATTGTTTTACTCAAACCTGAATATTAAAGAACACATACAAAACCATCCGATGGTCAAGCTGGTGTGTGCTGTGGCCTCATTCCAGAAGACAAAACTTGAAACATCGTGGTGTTGAGATCTTTCAGATGGAAATCTCATTCTTCCCCAGACTTGGGTAAGGCCTTCTAGGAGGGACTTGTGCATCAGCAGCGGAGTTGTATGTGTGTTGCTAAAATGTGTGTTCACTGGGAAGATGTAAACAAAGCCCACCCCTCCTACCTCATGAAAAAGCCAAGGTACGACTACAACAGTTCTCTCTGGGAACCAGTGAGTTCGTTAGGCTTATTTTGGGGCAATGGGTAAGGGGCTATAGGAAGGAGTAGGGGGAACTTAATGCAGCCATAGTGGATGGTCTGCACCCAGCAGCGATGGCGACTACCCCAAGGTTGTGCAGATGGAGTGCGCTCCCGTAACCCTTCCCCACCCTTATTCTTTTCCCCCAGTGGTTCTCCATCTCCCCAATGCTTCCAACCTTTAATACAGTTTCTCATGTTATGGTAACCCTTGACCATAAAACCATTTCATTGCTATTTCATACCTGTAATTTTGCTACTGTTATGAATTGCAATGTAAATATATCTGACATGCAGGTTATCTGTAACCTCTGTGGGATTGTGACCCATGGGTCGAGAACCACTGCTCTATCCCTTTAGAGAGACTCAGAGGCCATTCCAATTGGAGCAGAATAGCATACATGACTGGTTGGATTGGGAGGCCAGCTGCACTTGGGAGGCTTCTGTCACCCTTCCCACCCCCTCCTTCCAAAAGGAAAGGTCAACCGTCAAGAAGCCCAGCTATGGCAAACAGACCAGCCAAACTCATATACTCGGTCACTGACTGGCTTGGAGGATAGTTTTGTACAACAGTGTGTGTTTATAAAAACTAAAATATCTTAATTATACTACAGGTCAGAGTTCAGGGGCAGTGACAATTGTATTTTTTTTTATAGTCCTCTGTGACTCCTGTTGGACCCCAGCCTGCACTGTGACTTTCAGCAAAGTATAAACTCATACACATTGTGGATGAAGAAAACTGGCATTCAGTGTGCCCTGTCTTACTTGCTTGGCAATGATCTCAGTCAGTGTGTTGGGAGTCAATTAGTTGTGCTATCTGGTTGATAATAACCCAGGTTTTCCTAACTGAGAACAGCGAGGCTCAGACAAGTGAATTCCACCTGCTCTTCCCCAGCCAGCTCGCCTCAGATTTAACATTCAACTGACTATCCAGCTCCATGCACTCTCTGCCAGGGGATATGGCCCACAGCCTGTTTCCAATAAGAACTTGAACAATGGACGTGAAAAGGGTTGAGAGGTACAGCTTTTAGCTTGACTTAACACACACACAGAAGGCAAGAGGTTTAATCTCTGGCACTGCAGAGAAAAATTGTGACTGGAAACCAGATTTTGATAATGACTGATAAGGTTTTCTTTCAAACTCTACGATCTAGAGCCTTTAAATAAAAACAAACGGTTCGGGTTAAAATTAAATGCGTTGTCTTACTTTTCTGTTACTGCAATAAAACACCGTGACCAAAAGACACTCCAAGAGGAAAAGGTTTCTTTCCTCTTGTACTCCTGCATCACAGTTGGTCACTGAAGGAAGTCAGGGCAGGAATTCAAGGTAGGAACGGTAGCAAAAGCCAAGGAGGAGTACTGCTTTACTTTCTCCTCCCTGCCCCAGCAGCTTGCTGAAGCTGCCTTCTTAGCCACCCCAAGATCACCTGTCTGAGGAGGCACTGCCTGCAGTGAGCAAGGCCCTTCCATATCAATTGTTTATTAAGGCAATACCCTGAAGACTTATCTAGGGGACAATCTTCTGGAGGCTTTTCTCAATTAAGATTTCCTCTTCCCGGATAAGATCTAGGTTTGCGTCAAGTTAACAAAAACCACTTAGATACTTTGTTCCTTCATGTTACTGTTTAAAGACACGTTATTTTGTCTCTATAAGAAGCGGCTAGTTGGGAAATCACTAGATTGCATCATGGAGGATGGTAAGTCTATCACAAGAAAGCCCAGCTAGCATGTAAATGATGCTGTAAGTCTCTGGTCATGAGGTTGACACACTCTGATCTTACATGTTGTATTATATACTGTTAGTACTTAAGTGTATAAATCATTCAAAAATCACTGAAAACTAATTATCCGAAACACCCTCCAAAAGCCTCTCAACTGTTCATGATATATATATATTTAAATTAGGATCTCTCGGACTTGTAATTCCAACTATTTAGCTAGCTGAGGCATGAGGATTTCAAGTTGCCTACCTGTGCACCTTAGATCCTGTTGCAGAAAGTATAAAGAAAGCTGGAAGTATAAATCAAGGGTAGATCACTTGTCTGCCATGCATGAGGCCCTCAGTTCAGTGAAGAGTGGGTTCAAAATTCAATTTAGCAAGGCACAAAGTTGGAATGATGTTTGTAATTCTAGGTAAGCCAAAGTTAGAAACTCTACAGGTTTTATTCTGTGATTTGAACTGTTTTGGTCCTCAGATTTTTTTGGTTTGAGGTGTGTGTGTGTTTATTTTTCAAGAACATTCCAAAGTATATTAAAATCAGAAATGCGTGGAGCTGTCATCTTTATGAGAGCAGCTGTTACTATTGTTACGACCTGAGAAAAATTGACCTGTTGGCTATTGACATTCCTTCATAGAATTGGTTGCGGTGGTCACTGGGCCCTCAGCTGATTCTCTCCCTCTCCAGCTAGATGTAATTCTGCCCTAACTGCATGTGGCTCGCGGACTTGGGTGCTGCTAGAGTGTATAAGGGGTGGAAGGTTGCTTCGGCTAGTGTCTCTGCTGGTGCGACTATGGGATCGTCGTCATTAATCATCCATGCTGGGCTTAGGTTATTCGGTGATACGACTGCTTCGATGTCACTTGCATCCTGTAAGGAAGCCGGGCAAGCGCTGTTATCTAAGCTAGATGTGGGTGGAACCCTGCCTTTGGGCTGTCATTGGAGCTCTACGTGGGGTAAGTAGATATTAGATCTCATCCCCCAGGAACAGCTAGGGAAACACCCTGAAACCTGGGTCTGATGAATACCAGCCACAACTGAGGGACACCCTAGCAAAAATCATCTGATATATATACATATATACATATATATGGATATATACATATATATATATATATATATATATATATATATATATCCATTGCTTGTTAGATAAGGAGTCAAGATACTACTAATGATTTGATTTGGCACCGTCTATCAATTTTTAACTCTCCTCACGCGGAGCCACAGGCTTCCACTAGGTCACAGGCTAACCGAAGGCTTGAATAAAGCAGTTATTGTCTGTCACAGTGATGCAAAGCAGGCAGCATCACGCACGTCGGTGAAACTCGTCAAAGGACTGGGCACAGGGAAAGTGGAGGAGCCACAGTACACTGCCCCTAAGGCAGGGACATAGGGGACATAGGGGCATAAGGACTGCCTAGTGGAGGGGTGGCGGAGTTCCACAGTGACTCCAGGTTCCCTCTCCTAAAGGCCATGTTTCCTCCCGAGGTGGAACTGGCGCGGCACAGCGCCCCCTGCTGGTAGGCGGCTCTACAGCGCAGCGTCACCGCTCTGGGCGAGTCTCAGACTAGGAAAGCAGGTGGAGACCCCTATAGACCCCTTCCCGTCACTTCCGTCTGACTTAAGGAGGACAGGGCAGGGGTCATCGGGGTCATCGGAAGTGGACCCGACAGGCACGCCTCCCTGCCCAGAAGCGCTGGGTGTGTGCCTACAGCAGCCTGCGGGTAAGGGGCGTGGCCTGGATGGAAGGCGCCGATTGGCCGAGCGCTTCCCGCTTTCCGTTGGCGCCCAGGAGGCTGAGGAGGCACGGTGACACTCGACGGCCCTTGCCGGCGGAGACGGTCGCCAGGCCGGGGTGTGCTGCGCTGCAGGTGGGGCAGGTCGGCGGGAGGCCGCGGTGGGGACACGTGGCGTGGCGGCGTGAGCTGCACTGACAGGGCCATCCACGGCACCGGTACAGGGAGGAGTTTGTGAGGCGCGAGGCCCCGCCGGGCTGTGGTAAAGAGCGTGGCCTCGTGGCTGGGCCTGGAGTGGAGGGCGGCCTTCGTGCTGAGGGGTCCGAAGCGCGCGCGCGCTGTGTGTGCTCGGGGCGGGCACAGGGGACTTGGGCTGGCAGCGTGGAGGGCTTCCTCGGAACTCTTGGTTTGGCCTCTAGTAACTGTGGAATCCCCCACCGACTTCCAGTCTAAGGAAGCCATGAGGCTCCCTCAGCCTGGACGAGGACCCGCCCCCTCCCCCAGCCTTGTCAAGAGACGGCACGCGCATGTGCAGTGCCTGCTCTCATGCGTGCACGTGCTCCCGTGCTTGAGTGTTAGGCCTAACTCTTGGGTCTTCTGCCAAGTCCCTTGTGTCCGTCACCCTACTTTTGAGTTTCTCAACGGGACATGCTCAGAGCCAGCTAACGACCCAGCCCCGTGTGGGAAAAGTTCTGTGCTTCCTTTCCTGGTTCATTTATGAGTGCCATAAAGATCTTTTTGAAAGGTTTTCCTCAGGGTGGAAAAGCCATTTGCCTTTGTCTAGCTTCCCCTTTGACTTGCGAATGGTTGGCTTATCTGACAGGTAGCCCCCCAAAGAACTGGTTTTGGCTTTGTTGCAGTCAGCATTCATGCAATGTGTGTGCATGTAACTGGGGGTTATTTTTCTTTTTTCTTTTAAATCAATCTATATAGATATGAAAATTTCCTTTTCCTTGGTTGGTTCCTCTGTACAAAAGACGACTAGAGAATAGAACCATCTGGCTAGCATAATATATCTTTTGGCCATAATTACTCTGTGCAGTGTGTAGATGGCTCAGAGCACTCTGGGGAAATTGCGTTACTTCCAATTGTTTTAGTTGTGAAACATCATGACAGGGCTGCACTGACAGCTGCTGGCCCATAGGAAACAGAGTGCATGAGATCTCTACAATATATTTTAAGCGTTAACTGTTTTAAATCACATTTTCAAATTGGAAATGAAATAAAATGTTACAGTTTTCAATTTCATTGATATACTTTAGCCGCATGGAAATGGGGGTGTAAAGGTAGTTTTTTGACTATTGGTAAAACACCTACATGTATTCACTATGGATATTTGATAGTGGGCTGGTGATTTTGGATAGGTAATAAAGACCTACTTAATTTATAAATCAGTATATTTTAATATTCTTATTTTCTAACAATCACTGTTAACCACTTTTTAACAGTCATTAGGATTGAAACAATACATATTTGCAAAGTATGTTAAATGAGTATGTTTTCATAAAAACATCTATTTTAATATTTTCTGGCATATTGAATTTTCCTTAGAATTAACTGTTGGCCTTATATAGTAATCTTAAAACTGTCTAAGCAACTTGACATTTTTTTTATTAATATTACTCTGTTTTGTAGTAATGAGCTTACCTAATATTCTAATGGTTGCTTACTAGCTAACTGGTACCAACAGAGATTTTCTATGAAGTAACTTAAGATAAAAGAGCCTCTATTAAAAGAAAGAAAAGTTTATGATCTGGGAGAAGGGAGATTGGGGATAAAATGATTATGTGTCTGAGGCTAGATTATAGAGCAGAAGCTCTGCCCCTTCCCAAAGTTCTCCTTCTTTCTTTTGGTCAGTTTTATTCCCCATTCCTACTCCCCCCCCCCACTATTGGTATAAAATGATCCATGTTCATAGATCCAATATGTGAATCCTTCCACCCTTTTATTTTTAGCACATACACAGATGTCCTTCACAGAGTGTAGCTTACTCTTGTGCGTATTTTAATTTTTCGCAAACACTCTCCAGAGGGATCATCTATGTCTTATTTCACTTTTCTTGTTACCCTGTTTTGAATGGGGCCTTGTTCTGAGATAAAGACTGGCTGATTAAACTACAGGTTTAAATATTCAGTTGCATTCTGTGCACATTGCTTCTGTTTACCTAATTTTTCCCTAACACACCAACAAAGGCAGGGTTTTTTCCTTAAAAAAAAAAACCTGCTGATAGTGGCAGTGCTACAATAAATATTAAGTACTCTCTTTGTACTTTTAGATTTCTGTAAAATGTATAGCTAGAAATGGAACTACATGTTATAGAACACAGACAAAATTTTTGCCTATAGTCTCTACTTTTTCCAAAGTACAATTATTGATACCCATAATTTTCTATTTTTCATATTATCAGAATTTTTAGTTTTTGCCATTCTAGTAAGTGTTAGAGTTGGTTGTTTTAATTAGAACTTCTGTTATAGAGGTAACATCTTGTCCTTCTATTAGCCACTTTATTTTCAAGTTTCTCATTTTCCGAATGACTTGTTCTTTTACCTTTTTCACTTTCATACTTTTCTCCTTGATTCCTCAGTTCTTCAAAATTATTTTAATGTATGTCTTAGGAGCAAAACTAAACATCTTTATGATAAAATACATAATTTAAAATGTATGACAATGTAAAAAGGCTTAAGAAACTATTTGATTTGGTATAAGAACATTGAATATAATGTTTTAAGATTTTAAACTGTAAACACATTGAACACATGATAAGATACATAAAATGTTTTCTCTCATAGGTGTCTGTCTTCTCCTATTCTTAAATGAAGTCAAAATGCCAGTGAGACCAGACCTCCAAGTATGTAGTTCCTTTACCACAAACAAGCATTTTAATCACTAAAGTAACTTTTGTGTACTTACATATACATGTTGGTAAATTTTTAGCAATGACAAACTTAATGCTTTATGAAATACTCAAGAGTAACTTAAATATAGTTTCCTTTATTAAAATAAAGAATAACTTATATATGGTTTCCTTTATTAAACTTTTTAATGTATGTTAAGAACATAAAATATCAAAAGTATTGATTTTTTACATGTGCTTTCAATATTGAAAATAGTCAGATAAAAAAACAGATTAACATACCTGGAAATTCAGTTCAAAGTTTTAAATTGTCTGATCCTATCCTTTATATGCATGCAGTTTATAATTAAGTCTGTTCAGTGATCAGATTGAAGTCTGAAAGCTTCCTTATGTTGTTCTGTAATAGAGGGGATAGCAGGTTTGATAGAAGTCATACTAGAGTAATACTTAGGTTGAAATACAATTTTTAAAAGGGTAAACTTACCTTTACGCAGTTTAATTTTTAAATATCGTGTAGCTTGTACTCAGATTTGCTAGGATTTTATCCTTGGATTAAGTATAGTTTCTATAGTGTTGATTTTATTTTTCATTAGTTTATGATTTTGAGTTGATAAAGTTTGTGATTTTTTTGAATTGATAAAGATACAAATGTAAATTGGAAGCTTTTAATACAATATTTTCTCTCTGAAATTATTACTAAAGAAAATTAGTTACTCTGGATAGTGATATGTTTTCTTCTTAAAATATTTTTTAAAAAATATAAGTATTTTATGAGCTGATTTGATTATTTTCATTTAAAAACTATTCTTTGGTAGATCAATTGCATAAAGTGACTAATTTTGATGGAATATCTATGTTATTAAATATCTCTCTTCAGCAGTTAGAAAAGTGTATTGATGATGCTTTGAGAAAAAATGACTTCAAGCCTTTGATGACACTTTTACAAATTGATATTTCTGAAGATGTGAAGATTAAATGCAGCAAACAATTCCTCCGCAAGTTGGATGACTTAATATGCAGGGTAAATACTCATTTTTTAATAGCTCCTAAAATTATTACACATGCTTTTACTTTCTAGGAACAAGGGCTCCATTCCAAAAATATAAACAGAGAAAGCCTTGGACAAGCTTGCTTCCAATGATTTAAATGTTTTATCAACATGTACTTATTATCTGAGGCATCTCAAAACATTGAACTCTTGTTTCTAAAGTATCCATATTTCAAAGACTTCCATTATTAATCTGAGGGAGAAGATTACCTATAAACAATTTATTTTTAGAGACCCACCACCATATTTGCAATGATAAACAGTGCTTAGTGATTTAAAAAATAAAGCCAATACAAAACATTACTGAAATTTATATTTAATAAGAGGTAACTACATACTGACTCCAGGTATCCAAGATTGTTGATGAGTCATTGGTTGAATAAGAATTTGTAATCTATTTGTGTTGGCTCATGCCCGTAAATCTAGCACATTGGGATGCTGAGGCAGGGGGAATGCCACAAGTTGCAGGCCTGATCAGCCCTGTCTCCAAAACTTTAAGTCTTAACTCTAAGCCTGTAAAATGAAAGGAGAAAACTGCTTCTGTAGACTTTCTAGATTTTTATGCAGGTGACTGTCTAAAATTTGTCATTAGCTGGATGGTTTGGGACAACTTGCTTTATTAAGGCATTCTTCTCATTCTTTCCGTTATAAAGATGTTGAGAATGGCTCCCTTTTCAGATAGATGAGGATTATAAACTAATGCTGTTCTGGAACAATGTTTATTCCATTCTACTTTTTATTTGCGTCAGTTCAAATATGCACATTTCATTTTAGGAACTTAATAAAAAGGATATCCAAACTGTTTCAAACATCTTGATATCTATTGGAAGATGTTGCAAGAATATCTTTATATTGGGACAAGCTGGACTTCAAACCATGATAAAACAAGGATTAGTCCAAAAGATAAGTACTAATTTATAGGCGGGAAAGCTGATTAAGGTGCAGTACCCATTAAGAAAAAAAAAGTCCAACTACTGAATGCAAACTTAGAAACTTTATATAGAATTTTGAGAGTAAAGTAAATATTTTTATGATGTGGGCATAAGGTAAAGGTTCAGAAGGAAACTCTACAAGTTCCTTGACAACCATGTGAACTTAGGATCACAAGATGCCAACGGGTCTTTATTTGAATTACTTTTCTGTTGACTAACTCATTTAGTTTGTTTACTGTCTGACACCTGTACTAAAATATAAGACACTGATTTTTTTATATGTTTAATCAGTTACATATAACAATCAGATTGATACTCATATATGAATCAAATTGAAGTAAAATAATTCCAAAAATATCCAAATAATATAAATAGTCCTAATAATTTTAGCTGATTATAACAAGTGTATCTGTACTAAGAATGTAAAAAGGGAAGTGTAAGGGTCTTTGAAATGGAATTATTATCTCCAATCCTATTTTGAACAGTGAAGAAATAGAATAAGTTAAAAATACAAGACACTTTAAAATGTAAAATTGCTTTGATTATCAATACTGGGGTTTTCATTTTTAAAGTCATTTTGTTCTAGATTTATTCACTAAACAAATACAAGTATGTAAATTGTTAAAATGGTATTCAAATTAACTAATTTGTGTATTCATTTTTACATGGTTTCCTGGTTTGAAAATTCCAAGGACATTATTCTGAGTCAACAACAATCAAAAGATGAAGCTGTTATGAATATGATAGAAGACTTATTTGATCTTTTGATGGTAAAAATGACTGACTTTTATAGAGCATGGTTTTTATTAGAAAACCATTTGTTTGGGTTCTAAGAGTTATTAATAGACTCGCTAGTAACTTGATTGAATCAATCTGTCCAGACTGTATAACTCACTTAAGCTGGCTATATTAAATAGTTTATTAATAAATGAAAGTTAAATAGTTATACTGTGAGTTAAAAATCTGTCATTTTAATAATAGCTCTTGTAATGATTTATAATAGTAAATTATAAATGAAATATTTATCTTTTTTTTAGGTCATATATGACATCAATGATGAAGGTAAAATATCTTATTTCCATCAAAGCAACTTGCTAGGAACTTTTAGTATAAGTTTTTTTAATATCTATAATCCTGTTCTAGGAACTCATGATTTAATTAAAGAATTGAAGTTTTTCTGTAAAAGACCAGATAGTAAAATTTTAAACTATGTAGGCTAAGAGGGAAAAAATGCAAACATTAGTTTGGTATTTCAACAAATTTAAAAAATGATTTATGGATACAAGTAAGAATGTATTTTTGTATTATGAACTTGTTACTAAGGCAGAAAATGGTATCTTTGAATTTTACTTAGGGATCAAAGTTTGTTTTAAAATTTAACAAGTTAAGTTTTTTAAAACATGTTTATAATGAAATTTTATATCATGTAGAAAAGGGCAGTGTTTGGACTTATCTTCAGGAAAAGCTGTCAGTTAAGGAACATTTTAAATTTCCATTAATTGAATTCTGATACTTTCTAAAATGTTTGCTGTTTATGTTTGTTATTCAGAATATCATTACCTAACAGTAGTTACTGAAAATGATATGGAAACTCCTTAACTACACAACAAAAATGACTTTTCATGTAGCAGTTTCCTGTTTACTAAAATCAATGCCCAAAAATATTATAGGAGCTCAAATTGTAACTTGGGAAAAAACATAATGTCCTCTGCATATTTGTGGAGGAATAAAGATCTTCATTGTTTTTCCTTCTTTGAGACAGGATCTCACATAGCCCAGGCCACTCCTTATTGTGAAGCTGAGAGGCCTTGAGTTCCTGATCCTCTTGCTGCTGCCTACTGAGTGCTGGAGTTAGAGGCATGTGTCCAAAATGCCTGACAGATATTTTCATAAATTCACTATGTCAGAAACATAGACAAAAATGTAATGTTTTTTCAAAGTGTCAGATTTGTGGAATAACCATAAGTTCACAAAAGTACAATGACTTCAGTGGCAGTGGTTTGCCAGATAGCCATTCCTTCCACTTACTGTGGTAACGGTAATGTGAAATGCAGTTCTTTTATTCCCATCTTAATTATTATTTACTATCATATCACATAACACACAATAAATATATCTTTTATCTGTGCATATGTATTTTATAGAATGAATACAGCAAAATTCAAGAGGTTTTAGAGCTGGGCTGATAAAAATGTAATAGGGTCTGTATTGATAAGATAACCCAAACCACCACCAAGAAAGAAACTGCTATCTTAAAAACTGGCCATGGGAGGGTTAGTATTGAGAGCAAAGATATGGGCAATTGGAGAGACAAGACCAGGACAGGGTTTAGAGGAAAATCAGTGGGGCTCAGGCCCCGATTGGATGAGCAAGTAGATTGGCAGACAGCAGTCAAACAGCCACCCCAGCAGTGGGATGCTGAGCTAAAGTCCAAGGATAGCTGAGAGTTCTCTGTTGGTTGGTACTTGACTCATATGCCAGGCATCAAATGACCGTTCAGTTGTGGGGCCATTGCTATAGCATTGCTAAGTTTTTCTCACAGTATAGAAGCCAGGTGAGGTAGTTTTTATTCACTTTCCTTGTTCTGGCTAGCTAATTTTCTTGTGTTTTCTTTCTCTGATAAAACTTAAATATACCCATGTGCCTATGGAGTCTTGCTTCACCTTGGAAAAAATGTAGTTAGCCACTTTGTAATTCTGAGGAATAAGTCATCTATAGGTTACACTCTAGGGTATGGTGCTGGATAGATGGTGCTATTCATGCATCCACCTAAGCAGTCAACCATCCTGTGTCCTCAAAATGGAGTTAAAAACTGCCTATAAAATCAAGCCTGAGAAAAACACTGTACAATGTAGAGTAACTTAGAGAAAAGGACATAGCCTGATTTTGACAGATTGGCTTCTCATTTTAACTTTTGATAGTATAGGTAATGTGTAAATCAGCATGGTGATTGTGATCTTGTATGTCTTTCCATCATAATGTCACAGTTGGTTGAATAATAAATTCATGATACAGTAGACTCATTGGCACCAATCTGCAAGTAATTCCACTTTCCTGGTAGCCTTGGCCAAAGTAAATACAGGCTCTTTTATTCCAATCTTTGTTACTAATACTTATACCCTGAGATAACATACCAATCACAAACATAAGCACACACACACAGGTATGTTTATACATGTATAGGTTACACAATGAATCAAAAAGGTATAGCTGTAGCAAAATTTTAAGAGTTTCAGAAAGTCCTGAGAGATCATATCTGGGAGACTTATAGGGATGCAGAGTTTCTGTAGGAATGAGGTCATGAACCCAGGCTACTGGGGGTTTGCTGCTGCCATAGACTATAGGAACAAGGTATGCCGAAGTTTATAGAGACAAGAAGATACCCAGGTTCAGATGAATGAATCGGTGGATAGGCAAGGTAACAGTTTAATTAGGTCATATCAATTTTGGGGACAGAGATAACAGGCCCCTAAGGCAACCAGGAAGGGATTCCTTGTCAGTCCCTTCACACACACACACACACACACACACACACACACACACACACCAGGTCGTCAGATGACAGGTGGGTGGAGGTATTCCCATCAGAATGTCAGATGTCCTCTTCATTAAGTCCAGGTTAAGGAGCTTCACACCCTCTACAGTCTACTATGTCCACTAAGTTCTGAGGCCTGGTTTTCCAGATATGATTATAATGCATCCATATAATCTACAGTCCAAATTTACTTGAATAAATTTATAGAGTATCACCTTTTCTGCTTTGGGGAATAAGTTATGTTTGTACCCTATTGTTGGCACTGGAAAGATGGTGATGTTTAAGTGTCCACTAGATGTAGAGTCTTCCTGTCCTCAAAATGGAATCAAATGCTGCTAGCAAAACAATCTCTCAGGACAGGATGGATATGTTGTACAACATGGTAGGGCTCCACCGGATCTTAACAGTAGTGTTAATAAATGCCATTCAGTAACACCAATTATTAAAACAATTGCATTGCCATTAGAGTTGTAAGCACTGTTCTGTCTTATAGTTGGAAGTTTAATTCACTAACTCTTTTCAACTCTAACAAAAATTGATAACAAGGTTGAGGACAGATCTTTTTGAGAATAATTTTTAGTTTGGCTTTGAGTATGTAAGATGATAAAGTTTGCCAGTGCTGGACCATTTGTCTGCAGTGTGGTTGCCAAGTAGGATTGTCAGGTGCTATTTGTGATTAAAAATATACATAGCTGATAGACTAAGATTATAATGAGTGAAATTTGCCTTTGGTACTACCTCAGTAAATGGGATAGATACAGATGTTTTCTACAGAGTACCTGCTAAGAGCTGGTTCTACATTACAAAATAAGCAGGGTTGGATTTGTGTGCTGTAGTTGTCAGCTTTTGAGCTAATGGAACAAAATTCTTAGTGGCAAAAAGGATACAGAACATATTAGCTTGTCACCTCATTTAGAGACAGCACATACATGTGCAGGTTACTTTATTTCTTCCCCCTAGAGACTTCATCATAATTGGTAACAGAGGCCAGTGAATCACTTACACACATAGCTGTTTACTGTTTTCAAAGTCAAATGTGTTAAGCAAATTGATGATTTAAATAACAGTTAATGTTACCTTTTCATTGATTATATTTTTGCAATTAACAATTTAAATTCCCAGGAAAGAAATCCTAAGAGTACTAGCATTATATATACTGAGCCCTCCTACTGTAAAGTAAATTAGAGCTTTTCATGTTAGTTGTTTTAGTTGAGTATGGTCATTTTGAAAAGCTGTAATTTGCTTTTGCGGTATTTCCATTGCTAAAACTCAAATCTGTTGTAAAGTGACAGTTTTCTCTGAGTATATTTAGTATTGATAACCCATTTTTAAAATAGGAGGCTTTATTTTTTATACACTCTATCTTGATCATGTTTTCTCCTCCATCAACTTCTCCCAGATCTACCCCATCTTTATCCTTTTTTTCCTCTCTTTCCCTTTCTTCTTCCCTTGCTCAAGAAAAAAAATCAAAATAATAATACAAAACAAAAACTGCCCAGCAACAAAACAAAACAATACATGGGGTCCATTTTGTGTTGGGCATCTACTTCTGGGCTTGGAGCCTTCCCTGGAGTGCTGGATCATACCCAGTAACATTTCATTGGGAAAAACATGACTTCCTATCAGGTATTAACAGCAAATAACTAAAAGATGAGGTTTTAACTAAAAGACAAAATCCTCAAGTCACTTAGAGATTCATGAGAATAAGAAATGTTGATTTGTTATATAAAAGAATGTTTGAAGTATGACTAAAAGTTAGTGAGGCCAGTTTATATAAACACCTCAGATAATAAATGATTGTTAAGTTGATTTAAAATTAACATGTCAATAATAATTTATTCAGGTAAAAACCAAGTATTGGAAAGTTTCATACCTCACATCTGTGCCCTGGTTATTGATTCAAGAGTGAATTTTTGCATTCAGCAGGAGGTAACTCTTTTCAGACCTAAAAATGAAAAAGTAAATGATAAAATGAAATAACTTAGACTAAGTTTCTTAAATTAATTTCATGGGTTATATTTCTGTTGTCTGAGTAATTAATTGCCTGACAATGTAATTTTTAAATGATCAATTAAAATCTATAACTGAATGGATTTATGTATGTATATCATTAATATGAGAACCTATACTGCCAAGGTATTAGTTTTCTAGTATGTAGATGGCAATATAGCGTGTAGTTTTATATGTGTACATGCATATGCATAATCATAAGAACAAAAACTAGATAACCTTTTATTTATTCCCTTAAGTCTTAGAATAGTTATGTGTTTTTTCATAGTGGGTGAGAAAGCTTCAATAAAGGAGTCATCCTGTGCTAAAGTGCACTTTAGACTAGACATTCTTTCCTTATCGGACTTACATTCTCTGCTTAGCATTGTAAGTTCATGTATCTGTTTCTTTAAGTGCTTCTTAGAAAACTGAGTTGCTTTTTTTTTTCTCTTTCAGGCTTTAAAAAAAATGAATTTGATGCTTGACAGAATACCTCAAGATGCCAACAAAATACTCTCTAATCAAGAAATATTAACTCTCATGTAATAATTTTTAATAATTTGTTCTGATAAATTGTTTAAGAATTTTAAGAAGTATGCTACTACAAATTTGAACTAAGTAATGGAGTCTTACATGCTTATAAATTTTGATATAGTATTTATATTTTCTCCAAAGTTGGTTATACTAGCCAATTATTATTTTTCCCAAAACACAATGGGCTTTCTATCTAATTGATATTAGTTTAGTATATAATTTCTTATTTTAATTCACAGGAGTAATATGGGAGAAAGGATTTTAGATGTAGGAGGTAAGTATGTCTTTCCAAGATTTGAAATCACTTCAAATTTATGAATGTTATGTATATCTTTGACAAAGTTATTAGATTCCATATGTTACATTATCAGAATACACCAAGGGAATTATAATCTGTTTATCTAAGCTAAAGAAAGAATTTTTAATAATAAAAATAAAAAGATGTCATAGAATTTGTCAACAATTTGTCATGATAACAAGAATTAGATAAATGTAAGTATGCCCACCTTGTGATAGTTAGGAATGGTAAAGTAATGCTCCAATACATTAGAAATACTTGTGCTGAAATTTTTCTTAAATGACATATTGAAATTAGAATGTCTAATTTTTTTGTAGTTGACAATTTTTAAACAATACATTTACTACAAAGAACTTAATTTTTCTTTAGATTCATATGATTAAGTTTTGATTTAGTGACTTCTATAGAATAAAGTATGACTTTAATATGTACTCTGATATAGTTGTAAATATAACAAAATGCTATATATTGTTTAAATTGTTTTTCAATGTAGAATTATAAAAATGGTAAAGTCTTAAATGATTCATGGTTTTCTGACTTTTATAAAATGAACAGTCGAATAAGAAAAATAATAATAAATGTTTTCTTATTTCTCTTATTCTTATGCCTTACAAGTAGAGTTGTATAAGCTTAGACTCTTGACCTCTAAACTGACTAATTTTCTTTTAAGATTATGAATTACAGGTAGGCATTGTGGAAGCTTTGTGTAGAATGACCACAGAAAAACGGAGACAAGAACTGGCATATGAATGGTTTTCAATGGACTTTATTGCTAATGCATTTAAAGAAATTAAAGACTGTGAATTTGAAACAGTAAGTAGTATAAAAATAACAAGTTTAGTAAAGATTTTAAATAATTTTTATTTTTAAAACCCTCTTTTGTTTTTGAAAACTAGGATTGCAGAATATTTCTCAACTTAGTAAATGGCATGCTTGGTGATCGAAGAAGGTAAGCTTGATGCCGCGTGTGGCTGTTTGTTGGTACTTATGTAACACACAGTATAAACGAGTGCACTGCTAACCTGAGGGTCTCCTGTTGGCTTTGTTTGGCTTTGTACTTAGAAGGAAAAATGCATCTTATTTATTAGCTCATATAAATAACTGAGTGTCCTAATTTGGTTTACTTTGTTCCAGAATTGCATGTATATTATTATTTGGTGTTTAAGGAATGATAAAAATCTGGCCATATATCTATACAGTGGAGTGAAAATGTATAAGTAACATAAGTAGAATTTTTATTATTTAATATCAGAAACAACCGTGTAATGATAGAAAATATAAATTTCACCATTAAAACTTTTGTGTATGGGTGTTTTTGCTTCCATGTATGTCTTTGCTTTATGTGCATGCAATTCTGAAACAACCAGAAAAGAGTGTTGTATAACTTGGAACTGCAGTTAAAAGGTTGTAAGAAGCCATGTGAGTGCTGGAAATTGAATTCGGTTGTCCTGAAAGGAACAGCAAATTCTCTTACCTGCTAAGCCATCTCTCCAGCCCAAAGCAACAGAGTATTGTAATACTTGGTCTCTGGGAATGTTCTGAATAAATATTTTCACTTTATTTACTAAGGAAGTGAAAGATAGGGGTAGGCCTAAATGCCGTGAGTCTTATTGCCTGCATTTGAATCATAGATTCCATTCTGTTCTATTCTGTAAGTTATTTAATCTTAATATCTTCAGTTTCCTTAGCTGTGTGATAGGAATACTTATAGTACTTATTACATATGTTTGTTAAAGAGACTGACTAAAGTACTTAAAGTACTATCTTACCACAAAAATTTCTAAAAATTTGGCCATTTGTACTATCGACAATGACTCCTATCTACTTTTTACACACTCAAGTCCTGTGGAAACTTCCATTGTATTAATATGTAAATGTAATTAGGAACAGTTGTTCATATTTGAAATGATATTTTTAATTGATATAATTCCTTTAGTCAAAGTGGTAAGTAAATAGTATCCTTAAATTAATAATGCTTTTCTTTACCTAAACAGATTTCCAATAAATTTTTGTTTAAAATAGTAATGACATGGCTTGGGTTGGTGTTTTTCATCTGTTACTTCAGTTACTTGTAAGATTACAAGAGTATTATATTTGAGGACAGCTTAGACAAGAGTGAGACCCCTTCTCAAAAATGGAATTAAAGAGATTATTTTATTTAAAAATTGTGTAAGAAACAACTTCCCCTTGATTCTAGATATTGTTTTGTAGATATAACTTGAATAAGTTACTTCTTGGAAAGCTGACTTATTTTTTCTGAAATTGTTTTGTGTTTTAGGGTCTTTACATTTCCTTGCTTGTCAGCATTTCTTGGTAAATATGAGGTAAGTTTTAAATTGATACAAACTTCAATTATTGGATAATTTTTATATAAAAGTTAAATGGATTATGGACTACATAATGTTTTAAAATGTTAAAAGTACTAGACTTAGATGATGGTACAGGTAACTACTCCTGTCCTTACAGTGACAGCAGGAAAAGATGGACTAGCTCATCTTAGCAGAGGAAGAAGAGCAAGGCTCTAGTTCTTTACCTTCCTCCTCTTTTTAAAGGCATTACTGATGATGATTGTTTATGAGTATATTCAGACTATTTTCAGTCTATGTTAATACTTAAAATAGTTTTGATTTCTTGATGTAATTTCTGTGTAAAACATTTAAGTAGGATTTCCTTGTTCTAAATTATCTAAATGTTAGACATTTTAGCTGTCTTCATCTACTTATACTTTCTCTTGAAAGCATTCAGGGAATGTTCTACTTTATAAGTGTTGTTGATTTCTAGAATTAAAAACTCAATAGTTTAGTGATAACTATAACCTGGTGATAATTTTCCATGTTTTATAAGAGTCATATATACTAGTTTGATATATTATGTTAGCTTCAGATACCATCAGATGAAAAACTTGAGGAATTCTGGATCGATTTTAATCTTGGGAGCCACACTCTGTCATTCTACATTGCTGGAGATGACGATGTAAGCACTTACCCTTTTGTGTTACTATATACACATGTGTGAAAGACAGTCTTTAATTTACTTTCAGAATACATGTTTGTATACATTCTTTTAACCATTCTTTTGAAAGATTTTAACATTAGCCTTTATTTTAAGGTTGTACAAACTATCATGCTAATTAAAATGAAACTTCTTTGATTTTTTTAACCTTTTTATTTATTTATTAATTTATTTCTTTTAAATTCTAAATTTAATTCCCCTACCGGTCTACCCTCTGACTGTTCCACATCCCATACCTCCTCCCCATGCCCCTGTCTCCACGAGGTTGTCCCCATTCCCACCCCACCCCCGACCCTACCAGACCTCTAAACTCCCTGAGGCCTTCAGTCTCTTAAGGGTTAGGTGCATCTTCTCTGACTAGACCCAGATCCAGCAGTCCTCTGCTGTATATGTGTTGGGGGCCTCATATTAGCTGGTGCATGCTGCCTGTTTGGTGGTCCAGTGTATGAGAGATCTTGGGGGTCCAGATTGAGACTGCCGGTCCTCCTACAGGGTTGCCCTCCTCCTCAGCTTCTTCCAGCTTTTCCTTAGTTCAACCACAGGGGTCATCAGCTTTTATCCATTGGTTGGGTACAAATATCTGCATCTGACTCTTGCAGCTGCTTGTTGGGTCTTTTGGAGGACAGTCATGATAGGTCCTTTTTTGTGAGTGCTCCATAGCCTCAGTAATAGTCTCAGGCCTTGGGACCTCCCCTTGACCTGGATCCCACTTTGGGCCTGTCACTAGACCTTCTTTTTCTCAGACTCCTCTCCATTTCCATCCCTGTAGTTCTTTCAGACAGGAACAGTTATGGGTCAGAGTTTTGACTGTGGGATGGCAACCCATTCCTCACTTAATGCCCTGACTTTCTGCTGGAGGTGGGCTCTACAAGTTCCCTCTCCCCTCTGTAATGCATCTCATTTTTTGATTCCTGAGAGTCTTTCACCTCCCAGGTCTCTGGTGCATTCTAGAGGGTTCCCCCAACCTTCTACCTCCCAAGGTTGCCTAATGAGTGCTACATTTTAATACTAATTTTAACATAAACCTTTCAGAAATGAATATTAACAAAATTTAAATTTTTTGGTCACATGAACAAAATGAATCAAAAGTAGAGGAGACAGCATGAAGGCTGCTCAGCTTAGCCTGTACAAGGCCCTTGGACATACAGACACTCCGTGAGAACTAACATTGACAGATGACAGCAAATGGTCTTACTCAGGCTGGAATCCTCCTGGAAAGATGTGAGGGAATTGTAGAAGTGAATTTTAGTTCCATATGGTACCATAGTCCTCTGTATTCCAAGGTGGAATATTTCTTATTTTTCTGTTTGTTACCTGTGGAAAGATATTGAAGTCATTACTTCCTAGCTATTACTTTATATTTGGTATAGCGGCATTCATCTGGTTCCAATTGTGAAATCACTGCCAGATTCTGATAGAGTTGATTAGCACTTACTAATCTTGTTGTGGTTGCTGGTATTATAAGGAACCTCTTAACCTTTTAAATCTATTTTTTTCGAACCCTACTTCTTTCCCACATAATATCCACATAACATAAGTGGATGTTAGCCAATACTTTTAGAGTTTTCACATATTTTTTACACTAGAATACCTTCATAGGATGCTTATTTTCAGAAACTATTAGAGTATAGTTATTAATGTCTCACTGGTTCAGTTTGGTGTACTAGATGATCTAGACCAGAATAAATCCACCATAAATTATTTTCTAAATACTGATCAAGATGCTTGGAGATTCTTCTCAGAATTATACTTTGAATTCTCTTTCCTATAATCTCTATGGTAATGGGTTCTTCCTATACTCTGTGCTTTCCCTGGCACTCATTCTCCACATAGAAGCAACTTAAACTCCCGTATTTGTCTCTTTAATGTAGCATATAAGACATTTTACAGCCTTGGTACCTAGATATTCCTCTGAGATAAAGCTTTCTCTGTGTTTGAGCTACCCACATTTCACATCTTACAGGTCCCCTCTAACCCTCCCACCAGGGACCCCTCTTGTAAATCTTTGCAACCTAGTTTCTGTGACAGTTCAACTGGCAACTTATCACAGCCTAGAATCACCTGGGTTTTAATGAATAATTATCTAGATTATGTTGGCCTGTGGGCATGTCTGGAGAGGTGGTAGATTGTCTTAATTCTTAATTGATGTTAACACCCATTCAGTGGATGTCAAAGGGAGGGGGAGTAAACTGAGCACAGAGCAAACCAGTACCCATGTCTTGCTTCTCTGTCTAATCTTGACTATGCATGTGATGCTTCAGGGTTTTGCCTTAACTTCCCCACAGTTATGAACTGTAAGTCAAATAAACCTACCTCCCCTAAGTTGCTTTTTGACAGGATATTTTATCACAGCAACAAACATGTGAGTAGGACAGCTCCTTCTAATTTATGTTTTGGTAAGAGTACTATCTGCTTGTAAATGGGTTCTCTGGTATAAAATAGCCTTACTACCAAGTTATGTATCACATTGTCTAATGTTTACTGAAAATAATTGTTTTTCTATCTCATAAAATATCAGGGATGTGGTTTTTCTTATTTATACTGGTATTAGGGCTCATTATTTTTAGAATGAATAAATGGAATATTGGAGGAACAGGAAGTTGCATGTTTAGTGATAAATAGTACATGAGATAGGAGAAAGACAAGGCACTGTAAAGCCACTTAGACTTCAACTGAAATTGATATTGAAGTTTTAAATCAGGAATAAATATATACTCAAGGTCTTTTTCCTCCTAAATTTAAGGATCACCAATGGGAAGCTGTCACTGTGCCTGAAGAAAAAGTTCAGATGTACAACATTGAAGGTAGTAAAATTGAAGCTCATATTTTTGTAATTCTCTTTTTAGTTTCTGTCATAAAGAATGAAACCTGTTGCCTTTTTGAGATAAGACAGAGTACTGAAAACAAAACATCTGTAGATACATTCTATACTCCACTTTTCTATATATAAAAGCTGTGATATTTGGTCTGACCAGTCTACTGTTGGTGTTTTCAAGGTTCTTACATTTCTATCTCATTTGTTTTATTAAATTTAAACATCTCATGTCTTCATTCCTGTAACAATAGTTACATAATGCTGCTGGACAAAATTATGAAATCTAGCAGACTGGTAAAAGGCCATATTAAGTAAAGGTATATGTTAATCACTTAAGAGGACATATATTTCATCATTTGTTTTGTTTTCTTTTTTAAATTTTTTTTTACTTTTGTTTCCAATCTGCTTTTATACAATTTTAATTACATGCAAGTATTAAAGTCAGTTCTAGGTTGAGGAACTACCAATAAAATAGTCGAGGAACAAGCAAGGCAATAAACAAAGTCCTGTAATCACTCCTGAGATCATGTTTCTAAGGGCTTATCAGGATGATCAAAATATCTGAGCCTACTTTCCTGTCCTAGCCCAAAGTCATTTTCATGCTTGAAGCCTACTTCTTTGTTCTAGCCTAAGATATAGATTTCTGCCTGAAATTACTTCTTTGTTCTAGCCTAAGATTTAGATTCCTGCCTGAAATTACTTCTTTGTTCTAGCTTAATGTTACTGCCAGACAGCCTATTTCCTTGTCCTTGGCCAATGTCAGATTCCAGCCAAGAAGTTCCAAAAGCTCTCCACATCTCCCCCTTTTTTATTTCATAAATAAGATGGAGCCTGTCTTAGGATGTTCTGACAAGAGTGCCTTCCTTACCCGTCATGGACTATGCATTATCAAAAGCAGTGCACTTCTGTTGTAGATTGGTAAGGCTCTGTGCAGAATCTTACCCGTGCTTGGCTTGCCAGCCTGTTAAATTAATAACTCTGTCTGGGAGTCCATTTTCAGCTTCACACCATGTACTTTGACTGCCAACATGATGATGTTAAAGACAAGCTTTAACATGATGGGCAGGAATAAAAGTATTCCCAGGACAAAAAGGGCTAGCATAATCAAGCTATATATGCCATTCTTAAAGCTTAACCAAAATGGAAATACTGACCTCAGGCCATGTATATAATTTTATTAGCAGTATTTGTAGCATCAAAGCTCAGCAGAGCAGCCTTCTTTAAATTCATAATCTCACTATGCAAAGATAAAACATCCAGAGAGGTATTAGAATTATGCCAAATACCCTGCAAGTGTCTTTAAACTTTTTCCTAATTATAATGACTCTCATTGTAAATTTTAGAAGTAACACAAATCCATTGGTATTTGGCATGGCCCTTGAGATGGCTCCTTACTCTGAACCTTTAACTCTGAACCTCCTTCCAATAATTTGAATAGGATAAAGAGCATCAATCCATTGTTCCAAATGCCTATCTAAATCTTCTTGTATACTCAACACATTGATAACATTTTTTTTCTTTTTGGCTAAAGGTAACAAAAGTAGCTGTCTTAACTTCTTGTGTCAAAGTAATTGCAGAAGCAGTGGTGCTAGCAATTAATGTAATTAAAGCTGTTATACCAGCAGTAATTAAGCCCACTACCCTCTTGCTTCTGCTTAAAGCCTGACTCATTTCTTCCAGTACTTATAAGCTTTTTTTCAGAATACCAACATTCTGTAATACTCAGGGCAATAAAAAAAAGCTGATTGATAGACCTCCATAATGGACATGCCAGGTTTCAACACACTAATACAATTAGAAAGTGTACAATCAATACAAGTTACATTAAATACTGTAGAAGAAACAAAAGTATTTTAACTTGACAATTAAAAGAGCCTTAACACATACACTAACACTTGTTTGAAATCCAGATCCTGACCCAACTTTGTCTCTTGCAAATATCATAGAGAACTGCAGCTAACTTCCAAATATGTTTCTGAAAATGTCCAGAACCAGCTTTCCAAGTGAAGACTGTTATTTCCATGATTGAGTCCAAATAACTGGTTACATTTAAGAGAAATACAAGAGTCATTATAACTTCCCTTTTTGATTCTCTGTTCCACAAGGTCTAAAAACTTGAGGCAAGGCAGCTCTCTCATATGGGATATAAATAAACAAAGGTGGGTCAGGAACATATGCCCAGTACAGCTTCCCAGTCACCATTGTCAGGTCACTCAACAAGCTCACTGGTCAGCATCATTTCTTTGTCTCAGAATCAGCATGTATCACCAATCACTCTGGCAGCCACCATACTCCTTCAGCATCCTGCAGAAACACAAACATGCCCTCTTCCCCATATTAAATACCTGATTGGGATCATGCCATATCCCAGTAAGTGGATCCTTCCTTTCCTAGCATAAATATGCTAGTTGTAGGGTGCCATAGACACTCAGCAGAGAGTGCCTTGGCATCCATATTTTTAAAATTTTAAAGTAAAAAGAATATGATTTAAGTAAATTTGTGGTATGCAAGGATATGTGGTATCCCTTTTTCTTTTTTCCCCAGTCTTAAACTATTTTAATTAATAATATATTTTATCAATTAGGACATGCAGATCTAGTTCCATTTCCATAGTAGCCTATGCTATGCCTATTCCATTTATTTTTTCTTTTATTTATTTATTTATTTTTTAATTGGATGTTTTATTTACATTTCATATGTTGTCCCCTTATCCCATCCCCCACCCACCCAGGAACCCCTATCCCCTCACCCCTCCTCCTCCTTCTCTGTGGATGTAACCCCTACCTACCCGCCCACTCCCACCTCCCCACCCTCAAAATTCCCACCCCCTGGGGCGTCCAGCCTTCACAAAGTCAAGGATCTCTTCTTCCCTTTTTCATTTTATGAAGATATTGTTTTAAAGTTCCATGGGCCTGTTCCACAATACCTTGTCTTTGAAGATTATAAGGAATCCCAGTAATATAGGTAATATTAAATTACCAAAAGTCTCTAATGCTCAACTGCAATAGCCATTATGTTTTAATCTGATTTGGAGCAGCCAGCATAGAAAAACAATGTAAACAATAACTAATTACATTTTTAGTTGCTTCTTCTATTAAAGCAGTTGCAACTAGAAAGCCTGAGGGGGTGTCAATAGTCACATGTACATATTTTAATCATCCAAAATCAGAAATATGAGTAACATCCATTTGATATAATTGATTAGGTGTGAGTTCTTGAGGATTAACAGCGTTATGTAGTTCAGGTAGAAATTGAGTACATTCAGGACAAGTCTTTACAATTTGACGTGCACATTCTCTAGAATCCAAATTGTTGTCTCAAGCTATTACTATTTTGATGATGTAAAGAATGAGATTGTTTGGCTAACTGTGCAAGGCCTATAATCTGCCTGGTGTACAAGTTTGCTGTGGCATTGCCCTAAGGTACCCAAGCAATCCAGTATGAGCTTTTAAATGTCCTATAAAGTTAAGGAACAGTACGTTCTCTATGATCCTGGACATGTTAGAGCTTCTGGGAATCCAGCTTCCTCTGGGTGTTGCAGGATTGGGTGCAGAGCTGATGCCCAAGGTCTGATCAGGGCACTATGCAGACCAGAAGGCATTTCATCATATTTTTAATTTGTATTTGAGTTCTTTTCCTACATGAGTTCTCTGGCTGTTTGTGTGCTTTCCTCTGTAGAACATCTGTGTAAACACTTTTCCATCTTTTGCTGACATGCCTTTTCACTTTTGAAATTGTTGTATGTTCTAGAATACCAATCCTTGATAGATACATTTCAGGAACATATTCTTAGTTTGTGTCTTGCCTTACAATTTTGGAGGAGAGGTCAAAGAAAAGCCATTAAATTTGAAGTCTAGTTGATTAGATGTTTTTGTTATGTTTTGTTTTTTCCCTGTGTGGCTGTTGTTTTGTATGACCTAAGAAATCTGTCATTCTCAGTTACAGAGGCTTTCTGTTTTGGTTTTGGCTTTTGTGTTTTAATATGGTGAATGAAATCCAATTAATTTTTGCCTGAATTGTCAGAAATTGTGGGAGATTATGCTAATTTATAGTTATTCTATGATTATTTGCTGAAATGGCTTCAATTTCTGAGTTCCTTTGTAAGTCATATACTGTGACATTGAACATTACTCCTCTGTGGTTCCTCTGTGAAGTCTGCTGGCTCTGTAAGACTGATCTTGCATCCTGCTGTTGTTATGTATTCCTTTGATCTACTTACATATCGTGTGCCAGTACCACAGTGTTCTCAGCATTTTGTGTTCATGTGTAATGTAGCTAATTTATTTTGTGACATTTTGGGGTTTTCAGAAACACAGCCTTTGGAATATCCATATACATTTTTAAAGGTCTTATCAGTCATTTCAGAAAACTTACTGGAATTGCCATTATAGATCAGTATGGGGATACTTAAAATAGAAAATTAATTCAAAGAAATCCGGTTCTTCTTTATTTGTGTCCTTCTCTAAACAATGTTTTATATTTTTCATTATGTCTTATAGATCTTTTGATTAATTTATTCTCAAATATTTCCTTTTGCCTTTCATGATGATAAACATCATCTTTAATTTCATTTTCAGATATTTTCTACTGGTATATAAAATAGTTTTTAAAATATGCTTTCCATGTAACCTTACCAAGTTAACTGTTTAATTCTGGTCATTGTGTAGATTCCTGAAGGTGTTCCATCAGTCATGTTTTTAAATAATGATAGTTTTATTACTTTTTTCTTCTCCTTTTCCTTCTCTGTTTCTTCTTTATAAAATGGAGAAATCTTCCAGTACAATTATGAATAGAGGTGATTAAAAAGTAGATTTCTTGCAGACTTTCAAATGTGGCTTGGGGAAAAGTGTTACATTACTATAAAAGTGTGTGTTAGCTAAGTGGCCTGGTAGACACCCTGCATCAGGCTGAGCAGGCTAATAATTCATGTGCCTTTGCATATAAAACCATCATGGGTAATTCAAGTTAGTCAACATCCGTCCCTCCAATCATCTCTGTATTTGCTCCTTTAAACCCATTTCTTCTGCTACTTGGTCCCTAGACAGTCAATGTTGCTTTCTTCAAAATAGGTGTATATTTACCTAGAATTTATATAAGTGGAATCATATGCTATGTAATAATTTTCTGGTTATGTTGTTTCAAATTTATTTTAGCTACTTGATGTGGCATGTATCAATAGTTTCTCTTTTTTTGGTGGGTTAGTATTCCATCTAATGGCTATACCTTAATTAATCTATGCCCAGGGAATTTTGGGGCATTTTAAGTGTTCCAAATTTTAGCTGCTGCTGTAAATGTTAATGTATAATCTGTATATCTATGATTTATGTCTCTCAGGCCAATTACTAGAGAGTGCAGTGCTTGTCTCATACCAAAGGTATATGCTTATCTTGTCAACTTTAGAAACTTGCAAAGTGTTGGCTAAAATCTTACCAGTTTAGGTTTTTAACCTCAGTGTGTAAGCCATTCAGTTTCTGTGCCAGCAAGATGGTTCAGTGGCTAAAGATACTTGCTGCCAAATGAGTTTGATTCCCCATGATGGAAAGAGAAAACCCACCCCTGGGAATTGTCCTCTGACTTCCACATGTGCATTTGTACCTATATACCCACACATGCGTTCGAGGCCAGCCTGGTCTACAGAGTGAGTTCCAGGAATGCCGGGTCTATACAGAGAAACCCTGTCTCGAAAAACCATTGAAAAAAAAAGGATGATAGCAAAAAATAATTCATATTTCTCATCATTAAGTATTTTATATTGTCTTGGTCTGTTTCCTGTTACTATAACAAAATACCTGTGATTGAATTAGTATGTAACAAGAAAAGTTGATTTGGGTTTGTAGTAGTGGAGCCTGGGAGGTTTATGATCAAATTACTAGTGTACTTGTTTAATTCCTGGCAAAAGGACCTCATGGTGAGAAGCAGAGGGATCCTGTGGGAAGTAATTTTGAAAAACCTGAGCTCACCTTTACAGTAAGCTTCTCTAGCAGCTCCATAAAAGTTGAGAAGACATTAATCTGTTTATGAGCCAGATATCTGCCACCAATTATTCAGCATTGCCAGAATGAGTAATTTTCAACTTGAGGTTTACTGACAGTGAATCACCATATTCATACCATAGAACATTTTGGCAGTTTTCCACTTGTCTTAAATCATTTAATATATTTCACAGAATTACCTCTTGAAATTGTCTGTTTTTATTTATTGGAATTGCCTTTGACTTTTTTTCTAAAGTCACTATTTCATTAGTACCAGTGATACACTGGTATTTATTTCCTATCAAGTCACGTTATGATTGACATTGTATTTAGAATTATAGAAGTTCTAAGTAATTCTCCACCAAAAAGATGCCTCCTATACAGAGAAAGAGTAAGGAACTTAGGACTCTGTGTGGGCTATGGTGGCCTATGTTGCTTTTAATTTCTGTAAATTTATCCCACAGTGTGGTTATTTTAGTTTATTTGATTATGAACCTTTTTGGTTTCTGTCTTAACCTGAGGGGCTATGGTATCTACAGTTGTGCTTTGTAGAGAAATTCTAGCTCAGCTCACTAGGCATTCAGCCCAAACTCTAGCATATATTGTAAGTGGGAAAATGACTGCATTTAAGACTGGCCTGTTTGAGGAAGCATTTTATATTTAAGCCAGTTAGGCAATTGGAGAACTAACTCTTTTAATAATTTAAATATTTAAATGATGCTTAATAATTGTACATAATTAGGAGGTACAATATATTTCTGCATGTGCACATAGGAAGTCCTAGTCAGAGAAATCAGGTAAGAAAAGCTTAGTAGGAGAACTCAGTAGCCTTTTCTGTCCATCTCCTTGTACTGCTCAGAAAATAAAGTCCATAGTTCCTTTAAAATCTACATTTACTATTTACTAACTCTGAGTCAATTTTGAAAGAAAAGTTACTACATTTTCTTTTCTCATTAATTTCTGTTCTTGTTACATTTCGTTGTACATCTCTAACATTTTTACTGTCAAGATACTTAACTCCTCTAATTAAAGTTTCTCCATGTGTGTATGTATCTTTACATTGACTTATCCACATTTGACACTGGTGACTACAATTTATTTATTTTAAATTTCTCAGCTGAGCTCCAAATGTATAGAGAGCACTACTGTTCTCATAATCTTATCCTAACGAGTGCCTCCTTTATTTTCTGACCAATGGTATATGATGAAAACTGCTTGGTTAACACCAGTAAGGAAGCTATTCTTTAATACTTGAAAATGTCTCCTTTGACAAATTCTATTGAATGTTTAATTGTAGCAGGGGGTAGGTGGGCGGCACATGTGAGAGGCACAGTGTACATGGAAGTCAAGAGGACAACTTTTGGGAGTTGGTTCTTTCTTTCCACCATGTAGGTGCTGAGGCCTATGTTTCAGGGTCATCAGGCTTTTGGCAGCAAGCATCATTACCTTCTGCTCTAGTGTAACCAGGCCTAAAAGCCATTCTTGGCTGTTTCCTCCCCACTTACCTGTCACTTCCTGTTCCTTTTATTCCTACTTCTCATGTGTTTGTATTTGTCCTCTCTCTCACCATGACATGGTGATTAATGAGATGACTGAATATTGGTTTATTTTATATATGGATTACAAAATCATTTTGAATAATTTTGCAGTTAAAGCACGTTATTATATTCATATTGGAATCAAATAATTACATCTTGATGTGTTACTAAAGCCTAGCATATTGATATCTGAGCAAGAAACTAAATAAGATGTTTTTTAGTCTTAGTTTGATTACTAATTTTAAAAAGAAAAGTAAATTATAGTTTAAGACATCAGAGCAAACACCAGAAATCTCACCAAAGAAATGATAAAGTACAACAAACATCAATGTATTTCTATATAGATGGTCACAACTCATAATAGATGAATCTTTGTTCAAAGAATTCTCCAAAATTATAATTCTAATGCTGTAGGTTTGCAGTGGAAGAAAGCTCTCCATTTAATAGATATTCATAAGTGACAGAAAAAAATGCAGTTCAGAAGCATGAAGCAATTATTAGTAAAATCCCATAAAGATTCATAAATGTATAGATAATTTTCATCAGAATATGAAATAATCTTTAAAACCATATAAGCTTTTATCTCTGAAATGTGAAAATTTAAGATTGGGCTCACATGAATTGTTTAAATTCTTAGTTGTACCACTGTAGTAAGAAACAGAGCAGCACTTTTATTAGTTACCAGTAAAAGAAAGACATTTCCTATTTGGACAAGCCTTATGAGTTTTAAAACTATATTCTTAATAAAAATATTTGTTCTTAGTTGCTTGCATCACTCTGGATATAAAGTTCCCTACTTTGTGTGTTCGTTTTCCTTTGGCTTAAAATTGTACTCTATGGGGCAGGTGCGGATGCTTTTCAAAGTCAATAGCAGGAGCCCCAGCAGAGGCGGGCAGGAACACTTGTACTTGTGTACCAGTATTTACTCTGTACAGGCAGACTGATGAATTACTAGGTGGCTGTCTATGTATTCTTGTGGTGTTGAGTGTGGACACTTCATACACTGGGACTGGAGTATGTCTTTATTGGATTAAAAATTCCTCAAAAGTTCCTTGAGAATAAGGACTGCATCCTTTTTCCTCATAAAACCCTGGATTTTTTTAAAAAATAAAATGTTATTAATAGTAAATATGTTGATTTAACAGAGATCTTTGTATATATGTATATCTAGGAATAGTGTAAGTATGAATTCAAGTTATTTTCTTTATCTTTAAGAAAACAGCTTTTCAGGTGTATTCATGGGTTATTTTAATAATTAGTTAGGACCTGAAAACTAGAAATCTCTAGTTAAGGCATTATTGTGTAACATAGATGAGGACAGTGAAACTGAAATATAAGTTGACTGATTTGTTTTTATAATTAGTAATAGAGTTGAGTAAACTCAGTTTAAGAATTTGAATTTTGATTCAATTTGATATTTTATTTATAGTATACAGACTAGTATCATGGAGATTAATATATTATCATTAATGTTGTTTCTATATACAGTGAGAGAATCAAAGAAGTTACTGACTCTAACTTTGAAAAATATAGTAAAAATCAGTAAAAAAGAAGGAAAAGAGTTACTTTTGTATTTTGATGCATCATTAGAAATCATCAATGTGACTAAGAAAATTTTTGGTGGAAATAAGTATAAGGTAAGCTTTGAAACCTTGTTCAGCAAACAGAATTAACATGGCTTTGCAAGCTCAGTGTGGGACTGTAAGACTAATTGCTTTTCCATTATCAAATTCTTAAAATGACATAGTTTTTAGCTCTTTAAAATTAGACTGAAGGAAATTGGCAAGATGGCCCACCTAGTGGGTACAGGCACTTTGCCACCAAGTCTGAAGACCAGAGTTGACCCCCAGGGTCCACTTTTGTTGAAAGGAGAGAACTGATGTCACAGGTTGTCCTCCGACCACTACATGTGCACTGTGGCATATGTGCATGAACACACAGTAAAACTGTACTGTGGAGTATCTATTAGCTCAAGAAGTCCTACTGTTTGAGATGCCTTTATAAAATAAAATCTCAGGCAGCAGAGTTGTCTTGATAGTAGCTGCTTAAATCATTTGATGAGTTACTGTCATGTATTTAAATACTGAAATAAAACATTTTCAAAATACTAAACATTTTGAGAATTATAGAAATGATAGAAGTAAACAGTTGTCATCCTATGGAAAAATTACATAAACTAGAGACTATTCGTTAAGGATTATAGCGCAAAGCATGATTATGGAGATGAGACTTGAAAAAGCCTATGGAGAAAGGGTATTATGAAAATCTGTACACCAAGTTACTGTTTAACTGAGAATATAAGTTGACATTTATGGAATATTTTTGAGGCAATGCTTTCTTAACAAATTTGGATAACGTAAAAGATTTATGTCAGAGCAGGGCTAGTGGTATGCACCTTTAATACCAGAATTCAGAAATCAGAAGCAGGCAGATCTCTGAGTTTATGGCTGGTCTGAATATATATATGGCAAGAGCCTGTCTCAAAAAAATATTCAAATATATATTTATAAGGAGCCCTTGTATAGAAATTAAAATGGAAAACTTTAGAATGGATAGTACTAAGTAATCAAAGTGTTCTTAACTTAGACCATTGATATATATGTATCATATTATGTATGATTTGGGGATAATTGACAATTGTGGAAGAATAGGTAGGAAATAAATGCACCAATTAGAAAGAAAATGGCATCACTTTGAATTAATTGAATTTTAGGAATTTACCAGAAAACAAGGTATTTCAGTTGCCAAAACATCTATTCATATACTTTTTGATGCAAGTGGATCACAGGTATGTTTCTGACTTACTCAATTTTTATTCAACACTAAATGACTGTGGTGAAAAAGCCAATTTTAGAGGGTAACTGTGAAAACAAATGGTCTCAATATAAATGGTTCTGGAATAAAATACTTTAGTTAATGATAATTTCTTTATAGAAGTAAAAGATTGTTGAAAACTACAATTTGAGTAATTTTAAAAATAAGAACTGTGAGTGGCAGAGTTTGCTTGCAAACATGGCTGTTTTATTAGGTTATTTGGTGAAACTTAGAAGATGGCTAATAAGGAAAGATAGTATGAATATAAGAGGAACAGTAGCTTTGCAAAATATAGTTATTTTTTTTGAGAAATCTATTTGATTTGTAGTTTTTTTTAAAGTAGAATTTTCTCCATTATGAATCTAACAGATTCTAGTACCAGAAAGTCAACCATCTCCAGACAAAGAAAACCTCATTCATCTAAAAGAGAAATCTAACCTCCAAAAGAAACCTGTAAACCCTCTAGAACTAGACAACAGCAGCAGCCAGGATAACAGGAAAAACAGCCAGGATGAGGTAAATGTGGTGTCTAGTGAGTTACTCTGTTAAGCGACCACCGATCAGTCACTGCTGAAGGAAACAGAGCTAAAGCATCTAGGGTGCATATAGTATCGCCTTGACCAATATAGCATTTTGATTTTTGTTCCATATTTTGCATATGTAAAGAGAAGCAAGGATTTTAGCAAGTCATGTTTATTATTATGCTGTATATTTGTAAATCCTAAATTGGAGAAAGATAGAATAGCTACTTTTTCCCATTTATGTTTTTTTTTTCTATCATTGTTTTGGTTCTAACATAAAGTGCAAGCTTAAAATGTCTTCCGGTTTTTAAGTTCTTTTTTTCCTCATACACCGAGGCACCTTAATTATGTGGCATTCTCTAAAACATGTGTCCCCTGTATTCCCTGGTTCTACTTACCGATTTCTGTTATTTTTAGGAATCACTCAGAAGTGGTGTGGGGTAATTCAAACCCTTTAGTAAAATCACTGGCACTGAATTCCTATAATTAGTTTATGAAAAAAAAATTAAAGGATGCTTAACGTGTTGAAAGCATTCAAAATAGTTTTAAATACCTGTACATGTAAACATCATCTTCATGAAATACTGAAAACCACAAGTCATTGATTAGTTAAATATTTATAAAATATTTTCAGCTAGTATATAAAGGCACTATATTGTATATGCCCATGGTGATCTATAAATATTTTAAAACAGTATTTTTGTCTATTTGTTCATTACCAGCCATGAAGATGACACCATTTAAATTAGCCTAAAACACAGAAATATGAGGGATATTTTATTTATTTCAAAATACTTAACCTTTTTCATGTAGTAAAGGCAAAAGATTGTGAATAACATTGTAAGTTAATTAATGTTTAAATAGAATGTATATTTAATGTGACTGTTTCTCGTGGTTTAAGATCACTACACCTAGCAGAAAGAAAATGTCTGAAGCATCAATGATTGTTCCCGATACAGACAGATACACTGTGCGAAGTCCAATACTCTTAATCAACACATGTAAGTGTTATATTGTCTTTCAAGATTTTAGCAAGTATTTTAAGAGAGGAAATTTTAATTAAGGGAAATTCTAGTTATAAAATAGTAAAATTATGGATCACAGTATCTTCTAACTAAAAAATACATTGACTAAACAATTTTCAAAGTATTAATATTCTGTGTTAGTAATTTATCATGAATTAAGCAGGAGGCATCATAATATAGTGATTAGATGTAGTGTTGGAGTTTTCAAGTTTCTTGGATTTAGTTCTTTACAGCGAGATTTGTACTTAACACACAGTATTTATCCTCTGGGAAAATTTAGAATCAGTTTATTTTTCAACCCATGGAACCAAAATACCTTATCAGTTTGTTTAAAGAATTACATAAAAGTCATTTATTCAACAAATAATGATGTGAAGTTGTGACATCGTACCTGTTACATTCTAGTTCTAGGCTTTGATGGCAACTTAATAATGACCTTCTAAAAATCCTAGTTGCCCCCTAGGTGACAGCCTTGTACATGGCAGATTTCTCAAATTGGTAGTTTCCAATTTGAATAATTATTTGAGTCTTTCCTAATGATTTTTTTCTCCTCTTGTTAATTAGCATAGTGTCCACTTACCCATTAAAGCCAGAAACATAGAAACTGTCCTGAGAACTTCCACCTCTCACCTTCCTCACCTGAAAGTACCTCTGTAACAACAGGGAAAACAGCTGCTGTCTTTATTCTTTTAGCAACACCACGAAGAAGTAGGGTGCCACTGCAAGCAATAAACTCTTCTGAGAAAGCTGTTTCTAAAACATCAGAAAGTGGAGTGGATTATGCTGTGTCTCTCAAATCTAGACAATCTGATGGAAGAAATGGATGGAATAATAAAGCCAATGTAAGGATACTTTGTGTTAAAATAAAATTAACAAGTTATTTTTGAAATCCGTACTGAGCTGCTTTCTTTTCCAAATACAATCTCTACTTATTTAGAAAACGACATGTTTTTCTAAATACCAGCTATCCTTGAAAAGGGGCTTCTGGCACATGACCTGACCCATTGTGCTTACATTAAAGCTCTAAAGTATTTATTTCACTGTTCCTGAAACTTACATATTGCTAGGAGAAAGGGACTTTCTGTCACTCTTTATTATACAAACCTGTGTCTGCTGTGAGGAGACTAGTACAGAAGAAATGTGAGATCGCAATGGAATATGTCCATAAGTATCTAAAGGTCTAGCATGGATTTGACAGAGTCATAAGACTGCTGTACTCATAGTACAAGCATCCTCAGATACACACATAGAATATAGTGAGAACCCACTGAAGAGGCAGAAGCCTACCTCTAAAGATGAAATCTAACTTAAATTAGTGTGCCCAGAAAGATTAATGTCATAAGAGTTGAATATATTACAAAATGTAGTCAGAGTAGTGGATACATTGCCTAGCTTGTTTAATAAAGTCACTATTTTTCTTATTTTGTGGCATAGTCCTGAGTTTTGTACAATGACTAGTAGCATAGAGAGGACAGCTAAGGAAAAATATCTAGAGCTATGCAATATAGTTTGCTGATAGTGATGGCAGATTAATTTTTTAATCTGTAAGATGACTGTGTGTATATAGAAAGAAAAATTCAGGAAGAAATTACCTGGGAAATAGTCAAAATTTTTTAATTATTTAGTATTTCATAAATTTCAGCTCATTTAACATTTTCAAAAGAGAATAGAGTTATTAAATCGACAGCAACAAGAGACATATTTGTAGATTTTAGAAATCACCATAACTTTAAATGTACTGGCTCTGAGATAAGAGTAGAAATTTTGTAGAATCATCTGCCTCCTTGTCTCCAGTGAAAGTTATTTTCTTGTGTTTTTTTTGTTTTAGATTTATTTATTTTATGTATATGAGTACTCTATCTGCATGCCAGAAGAGGGTATCAGATCACGTTATAGATGACTGAGCCACCATGTGGTTGCTAGAAATTGAACTCAAGACTTCTGGAAGAGTAACCAGTGACCTTAACAGCTGAGCCATCTCTCCAGCCCTATTTTTTTTGTATATTAAGATAGGCAATGGTCTTAAGAATATGTCCATACCATTCATAAAATATATATACATTCTAATTTTCATACTAAGGCACACTTACATTTTTATATCTTAATGGTCTTTGAAAAGTTGAATTCATGAGATACCTTAATTTATGTTTACAAATATATTTCCTCTGTCAATAGCATAACAAAACTACTCCAGTCATAGAAAACAAAGAATATGAGAACAATGGATCCCCAGACCAACATTTCAGTAAGTACTTTTAGGGATTAATTTTAGTCAGTGTGAGTACACCTGCTAAAATGTGTGTGTTTGTGCATATTTGTAACAACTGTGCTGGAATTATATTTAAAAATGTTGTTGGGATGACTATATAAACCTTGCTGCTGGGAAATTTGTGTCTGAGAGGAAGGAGGGTGCAAGGTCAATGTTCTCATCCCCAAATGTCAACTTGTATAGGATTTAACTCCCACTTTAGTTTTCCAACTGCATGAAAAAGTGAAAATACAATGGTTTTCTTTTGTTTAGATGAAACTGAGGATATTCTCTCTGATGCATATGCAGTGGAAAATGTAAACAAGCCTGAGTGAGTATAACAGTGCCCATCAGACCACTTAGCATTTGTTCATATTGTTTTGGATGAATAAAATTGTAGTTAACAGATTTGAAAGAAAGGCCTTTATATATTATCAGAATGCATTGTCAGTCATAGCATCAATTGTTAGGTGATAGTTATGATGGAATAATAAGGAATAGGCTTCCCTTTTTCTTTCCATGTGAAACAACCTTAAGAGTTTTTTTTTATTATTATTTTTTAATCTTTTTTTACAGTTCAGATTTTATCCCCCTCTGGTCAACCCTCTGACTGTTCCACATCCCATACCTTCTCCCCACCCATCTGTCTCCAAGAGGATATCCCCACCCTACCCCCACCTCACCAGACCTTCCCACACCCTAGGGTCCTAAGTCTCCCGAGGGTTAGGTACGTCTTCTCTAACCAAGTCCAGACCCGGCAGTTCTCTGCTGTATATGTGTTGGGGGCCTCATATCAGCTAGTGTATGCTGCCTGGTTGGTGGCTCAGTGTCAGAGAGATCTGGGGGAGGGGCTCCAGGTTACTTGAGATTGCTGGTCTTCCTTTAGGGTCACCCTCTGACTCAGCTTCTTCCAGCTTTTTCCTAATTCAACTACAGGGGTCACCAGCCTCTGTCCATTGGTTGGTTGTAAATATCTGCATCTGACACTGTAAGCTGCTTGTTGGGCCTTTTGGAGGGCAGTCATGAGGGGCCCCTATCTGTAAGCACATCATAGCATCAGGAATAGTGGTCAGGCCTAGGGCCTCCCCCTGAACTGGATCCCAATTTGAGCCTGTCACTGGACCTCCTTTCTCTCAGGCTCTTCTCCATTTTTGTCCTTGCAGTTCTTTCAGACAGGAACAGTTCTGGGTCAGAGTTTTTGACTGTGGGATGGCATCCACATCCCTTCTCTTTGATGCCCTGTCTTTCTACTGGCGGTGGACTCTACAAGTCCCCTTTCCCCACTGTAGGGCTTTTCATCTAATGTCTCTCCCTTTGAGTAATGAGAGTCTCTCACATCCCAGGTCTCTGGTGCCTCCTGAGGTTACCTGTTTTGATTCTTTCTGCTGGCACCTCAGGGCTTCAGTCCTGTTCCCTCATCTCCAATACCTGATCATGTTCCCCTCCCTGTTACCCTTCAGCCCAGGTCCCTCCCACTCCCTCCTGTGATTGCTTTCTTCTCCTTCCCAAATGGGATTGAGGCATCCTAACTTGGGCTCTTCAGCTAGATACCCTTCTTGAGTTCTATGGATTGTATCCCAGAAATTCTGTACTTTTTTTGACTAATATCCAAGTAGTAGTGACTATATACCATGCATGTCCATTTGAGTCTGAGTTATCTCACTCAGGATGATATTTTCTATTTTCATCCATTTGCCTGCAAAACTCGGGATGTCCTCATTCTTAATAGCTGAGTAGTATTCCAGGATTGTGTAAATGAACCACATTTTATGTGTCCATTCTTCTGTCGTGGGACATCTGGGTTGTTTCCAGCTTCTGGCTATCAAAAATAAGGCCACTATTAACATAGTGGAACATGTGCCCCTGTGGCATGGTGAAGCATCTTTTGGGTATATTCCCAAGAGTGATATTGCTGGGTTTTCAGGTAGATCTATTTCCAATTTTCTGAAGAACCACCAGATTGATTTCCAGAGTTGTTGTACCAGTTTGCAATCCCACCAGTAATGGAAGAGTGTTCCTCTTTATCTACATCCTTGCCAACGTGTGTTGTCACCTGAGGTTTTGATCTTAGCCATTCTGATTGGTGTGAGGTGGAATCTCAGGGTCGTTTTGATTTTCATTTCCCTGATCACTAAGGACTTTGAACATTTCTTTAGGTGCTTCTTAGCCATTTGAGATTCCTCTGTTGTGAACTCTGTTTAGTTCTATACCCACTTTTTTTTCTTTTTCTTTTTTATTTATTTATTTTTTCAAATAATAATTTTTACTTATTCACACACGGGTTATAAACACAAAAAGACAGGACATGGGGAAGGAGATGACACTGGAGCATGGGTGTTCAGAGGGAATACAGTTATATTTCAGAACAGGGTATCGGCTGGGTGGAGGTTCAGGGGACAGGTAGCTATGACTCTGCCTATGATTCACTTGTCCTTATCTAAATTGGTATTATCTGCCAAGGCTACATATTTACAAGGTCTATGACTACTCAGGCTGGTAAATTTCCACAAAAGCTGCCTGTTTACAATAGCTTATAGTCATCTGTTTCAATGTTTTTCCACAGAGACCCAAGACTTGGTGTTAGTATACATGTATGACAGACCTATTGCTGATTTTAGGCCTATGGCAGATTTTAGGCCTTCAGTGTATAGGCAGGGCTGCCCCTGACATCTCCTTTCTTCTCTAAGTATAGAAGGGCTGTGGCGATTCTAATCTTGCGAAGGCGGGGATAGAGGCCTGACCTCCAGTAATTGAAGGGGACCTTGTAATGTCTCCAGTCCCCCTGTCTATACCCCACTTTTTGATTGAGTTGTTTGGGTTTTTTGGTGGTTAGCTTCTTGAGTTCTTTGGATATTAGCCCTCTATTGAATGTGGGGTTAGTGAAGATTTTTTCCCTATCTGTAGGTTGCCGATTTGTCTTATTGACTATGTCCTTTGTCTTACAGAAGCTTTCCAGTTTCATGAGGTTCCATTTATCAATTCTTGATCTTAGAGCCTCAGCCATTGGAGTTCTGTTTAGGAGTTTTTTCCCTGTGCCAATGAGTTCAAGGCTCATTCACACTTTCCCTTCTCTTAAATTCAGTGTATCTGGTTTTATGTTGAGGTCCTTGATCGACTTGGACTTCAGTTTTGTACAAGGTGACAAATATGGCTCTATTTTCATTTTTCTACTTACAGATAGCCAGTTAGACTAGCACCATTTATTGAAGATGCTTTCTTTTTTCCATTGTATATTTTTGGCTTATTTGTCAAAGATCAAGTGTCCATAAGTGTGTGGTTTTATTTCTGGGTCTTTAATTCTATTCCATTGATCAACATGTCTGTCTCTGTACCAATACCATGCAGTTTTTATCACTATTGCTCTGCAGTACAGCTTGAGGTCAGGGATGGTGATTCTCCCAGCCATTCTTTTATTGTTAAGAATTGTTTTCGCTATTCTGGGTTTTTTACTTTTCCAGATGAATTTGAGAATTGCTCTTTCCATGTCTTTGAAGCATTGTGTTAGGATTTTGATGGGGATTGCATTGAATCTGTAGATTCACTTTGGTAAGAGCCTACTAGGTTCACTCTGCAAATCCATGAGTGTGGGAAATCTCTCCGTTTTCTGAGATCTTCTTCAATTTCTTTCTTAAGAGACTTGAAGTTCTTTCCATAAAAGATTTAAAATGCTAGAGTGTGGAAAATTTTTTTGAGCTTAATGTCTTTTTTTTAAAAAAAAATCTGCATTAAATTATTTATTTACATTCCAAAAGTTGACACCCTTTCCAGTTCTCCTCCTCGAGTTCTTCACCCCACCTCTGAGAGGGTGCTCTCCCACCTGCTGCTCACCCCCACCAACATCTCTCTTCCCTGGGGCATCAAGTTTCCACAGGGTTAAGTTCATTCTCTCCCACTCAGACCAGACAAGGCAGTCCTCTGCTACATATGTGCCTGGGGCCACCAACAGCCCCGTGTATGATCCTTGGTCTATGGCTTAGTCTCTGTGTGCTCTGAGTGGTCTGGGTTAGTTGACACTATTGTTCACCCTATGGGGTTGCAATCACCTTCAGCTCCTTCTGTCCTTCCTTTAACTCTTCCATATTGGTCCCCAACCTCAATCCAATGGTTGGCTGTAAGTATCGGCATTTGTCTCTGTCAGCTGCTGGTAGAGCCTCTCAGAAGACAGCCATGCCAGGCTCCCGTCTGCACACACAACAAGGCATCAGTAATAGTGTAAGGATTTGGTGTGCATGCATGGAGTGGATCCCAAATTGGGCCGGCCACTGGGTGGCTTTTCTTTCAGTTTCTGCTCAGATTTTTGTCCCTGCATTTCCTTTAGACAGGAAAAATTCTGGGTTAAAATGTTTGAAGTTGGGTGAGTAGCCCCCTGCCTCAACTGGGGACCATGTCTATCTACTGGAGGTGGTATCTTCAGGTCCTATCTCCCCTCTGTTGAGTATTTTGGCTAATGTCATCTCCATTGAGTCCTGGTAGCCTCTCACATCCTGGGTATCTGGGACTTTTTAGAGGCTCTCCCTGCCTCCTACCCCTCACTGCTATATATTTCATTTTATCTCCTGGCCCTCTGGGCATCCCTCCTGTGTTGTCCCATGCCTGAGCCTACCTGCCCTTCCTTTTCTCCCTCCCTCTCATCTTTCACCCAGGTACCTCCCTCCCTCTGCCTCACATGATTATTTCGTTCCCCTTCTAGATTTATTCTTCTCTTTCTTTCTTTCTTTCTTTCTTTCTTTCTTTCTTTCTTTCTTTCTTTCTTTCTTTCTTTCTTTCTTTCTTTCTTTTTTTTGTTTTTCAAGACAGGGTTGCTCTGTGTAGCCCTGGCTGTCCTGGAACTCACTCTGTAGACCAGGCTGACCTCAAACTCAGAAATCCTCCTGCCTCTGCCTCCCAAGTGCTGGGATTAAAGGCATGTGCCACCACTGCCCAGCCTATTTTGTTCCCCTTCTAAGTGGGTTTGAAGCAGCCACACTTTGGCCTTCCTTCTCATTAAACTTCCTACGGTCTGAGAGTTGTATCATGGGTATTCTGAACTTTTTGGCTAATATCTACTTATCAGTGAGTACATACTATGTGTGTCCTTTTGAGTCTGGGTTACCTCACTCAGGATGATATTTTCTAGTTCCATCCATTTACCTTCAAGATTCATAATTTCCTCATTTTTTAATAGCTGAATAGTATTCCACTGTGTAAATGAACCAGATTTTCTGTATCCATTTTTCCGTTGAGGGACATTTGATTTGTTTCCAGCTCCTGACTATTAGAAATAAGGCTGCTGTGAACATTGTGGAATGAACATAGTGGAGTGTGTGTCCTTGACATATGGTGGAGCATCTTTTGAGTATATCCCCAGGAGTGGTATAGCTGGGTCTTCAGGAAGATCTATTTCCAATTTTCTGAAGAACCACCAGATTGATTTCCAGAATAGTTGTACCACCTTGCAATTCCACCAGCAGTGGAGGAGTGTTTCTTTCTTCTCCACATCCTCACCAGCATCTGCTGTCACCTGATTTTTTTTTTTTGTCCTAGCCATTTGATTGGTATAAGGTGGAATCTCAGGTCATTTTGATTTTCATTTCCTTGAATACTAAGGATGTTGAACATTTCTTTATGTGCTTCTCAGTCACTTGAGATTCCTCAGTTGAGAATTCTCTGTTTATCTCTGTACCTCATTTTTAAATTGGGTTATTTGGTGTTCTGGAATCTAACTTGTTGAGTTTTTTTATTTATATTTTGGATATTAGCCCTCTATCAGATGTATGGTTAGTAAAGATCTTTTCCCAATCTGTAGGTTGCAGATTTGTCCTATTGGCTATGTCCTTTGCCTTGCAGAAGCTTTCCAGTTTTATAAGGTCCCAGTTATCAGTTCTTGATCTTACAGCCTCAGCCATTGGAGTTCTGTTTAGGAAATTTTTCCCTGTTCCAATGTGTTGGAGGCTATTTACCACTTTCTCTTCTCTTAGATTCAGTGTACCTGATTTTATGTTGAGGTCCTTGATTCACTTGGGTTTGAGCTTTGTACAAGGAGATAAATATGGATCAGTTTGCATTCTTCTACATGCAGACCACCAATAAGACCCCACCATTTATTGAAGATGCTTTATTTTTTCCACTGTATGGTTTTGGCAAATTCACAATAAGATAGGATATGCAAAGATGTACTTAGGTATATAGCTGTGCAGTAACGGTAATGGTACTTTTCTTGTATTTTAATCTGATCACTTATATAATTTTTATATCCTATATGACAGCTTTTTCACATTTAATTGCTTAGCATTTTCTCAACAAACACGTGAGTATTATATAAAAGCATCATGTCTTAAAAACTCATGCACTAATGTTTGATAATATATTGAGCAAATGTTTTCTAGATTACCTGGTATTTTAGACAACTCAAAAAATAAAGCACATTCCAGATGGGCATGTTGGACACCTGTAACAACTATCAAACTCTGCACTAACCAGAGAACCCATGCTTTACCAGGAGACACTTTTACCCAAGGTGAAAACAGTCTTTCCAGTTAATACAGTAGTCTTTAGGGATATAACATACTTATCCTAAGTACCTAACAAGTAATTTTGTTTATAGAAAAATTTGGATGTTACCAATATATTCATTGTAAAAGACTTTCTCATTCTTCCACTAGATACTGGTGTCAACAAAAAGTGCACTAAACAAAAATCAGTATCTGATGATGATTCTGAAGAAACACAACAGGTAAAATACAGAAAAAATGTAATCAAGTGTAACAAGTCAGATGAAGCAGAAGTTTGTGAAAGAGACATTCAAGAACAAAATCATCCTAAATATTCACAAAAGAAAAATACTGCAAATGCAAAGAATGATTGGTGTATTGAATCTGAAACTACTTATAAATCAGTACTCCTAAATAAGACAACTGAAGAATCACTCATCTATAAGAAGACATGTGTATTGTCAAAAGATATGAATACAACTATCTGTGATAAAAGCCCTTCTAGAAAAAGCATGAGTCATACAAAATCAAGAAAAGAACTGATGTCTGAACTTACTTCATGTGAGCTAGAAGAAATACCAGTGGTGAGTACTGGATTTATTAATTTCTTACACAGAGGCTTAATTGATTGCTACAGACTTGACATGATAAATGCCTTGTTCTTTTGTTCTGTTCCTGAATGCTTCCTTAAGCTCCCAGTTCACCTCCCTAACACAGCCTTGTAGAACAAGATTGGTATAACCAGGCATGTCAGTGTATATGAACTGTTCTGGTCTTTCATAATGCTTCTTGTCTATGAGTGGCTATTGTGTGTGCTATATGTAAGGCTTCCAACTGTCCTAGTTTGCCTTCTGTCATGGTGATGTACACATGACCAAAATGAACTTGGGGAAGAAAGAGTTTGTAGATTACAGTCTATCATGAAGGGAAGTCAGGGCTCGTTCTCCATGGCTCACTCAGCCTGCTTTCTTACACATACCCAGGACCACTTGCCAGGGTTGACACTACCCATAGTGGACTGGGCCCCCTCATATCAGTCATTAATCAAGAAATTGCCCCTACAGGCAATCTGATGGAGGCAACCCCATGAAGGTTTCTTCTTCCCTGTTGACTATATCTCTTTTAAGCTGATGAATAACCAACAGAAATGGTAAACAAAATAAGTGTTTTGGTGGTGGTAGTGGTGTTGGTGGTGGCTTCATTTTTATGTAAAAGAAGGCTAAGACTGTTTCACAGAACTTGCATGTGATAGTCATTCTTTTTTATTCTTGGAGCACAGAAACCTGACTGAGCATCTGTTAGGGTTTATGTATAGTGGAATGTCCCCAAATGCTGTGAGTTGAAGACTTGGTCCCAGCTAGTGAATCCAATCTTTCAGAGTTGATTAGCGCATGAGGACAGTAACTTCATCAGTGGATTATTAGGTCATTGATGCATCTATACTATATGGACTATTAGAGGGACTTGGTTGGAGGAAGCAGATCACTAGGGGCACTTTTGCAGAGTATGTTTTACTCTAGCCTCTTCCTTCTGTTTATCTTGTTTGCTTTGTAGTTGCTGTGAAGTAAAAGTAAAGACTCTTCTGCCATACTGTAGCTGCTATGATTTTCAACCTAACTTCATTACTAAAGTGACCAGGCCAAAGAGATTGTGGAATAAAATCTGTGAAACCATGAGGCAAAAAATAGCTTTTATCCTTTTAAGTTCTCTTAAGTATTTATCATAATGTCAAAACCCCAACATAACAACCTTCTCCAACTTGTTTCTTTAAATCAACTTCTTATTTTCCCTAATAGTGCCATTTTTCCTATATCATTTCCTGACCTTTCTGAGGTAGATCATTCTCCTATGGTCATCAGTCTGACATTTGCTGAGGACCAGCCCCCACCCCTTCCTTTTTATGACTTGACCTTTGGTTAATTGTTTTACAACCTCTTAGAATGTGCATGACACTTGAAGACTATCAGAGTTTTCAATGCAGTTTTGACATTAGAAAGGACTTAATAGCAGTCCTATTATAAAAGCGCTCAGTAATTACTAATATAATTTTAGGAATTCTTATAGGATCATTCATCTTTGTTGTTCTGCAGAGATCTGCTCAAAAAGGTGGGCAGATCTATCTAGTAATTGTTATATATGTTTAATAAGAACAGGAAAAGCAAGAATCTTTCCTACAGTCTTCTCTCTAACTCCTCCTTGGGAACTCCATGATCAGTTCAGTGGTTAGGGGTTTACAGCCCCATGGGGAGAGCAACAATACCAACCAACCAGAGCTCCCAGGGTCTAAACCACCAGCCTGGAGCACATAGGGAGGGACCCATGGCTCCAGCTGTATATGTAGGGGAGGATGGCCTTGTCGGGCATAGGTAGGAGAGGAGATCCTTGGTTCCTTGGAGGAAGGCTGGATACCCCAGTGTGGGGGAATTTGAGGACAGAGAGGTGGGAGTGGGTAGGTGGGTGGGGACATATCCTCATAGAAGCAGGAAGAGGGGGGATGGGATGGTGGTTTCTAGGTGGAGGGGAAATGGGAAAAGGGGATACCATCTGAAATGTAAATAAAATATCCAATAAAAAATTAATTTAAAAAAAATCTTTCCTAAAATGAAACCATCTCTCTCTTGCCTAGAGATGCAAATCTGTCATTAATTTTGACAGTCCATGACAGAACCATCTCAGGAAGATCACCTGCTAGTTTTTAGCTTCTCCTTGATGGCTTCCAGCAGATATTGCTTTTTGTTTATTAGATCAGCACAGAATAGCTCCTCCGTAGCTCAGTGACTCAAGGCTTTCCTGTTGTTCTGGAAGATCTGATATTGTCATACATTGTTTTCAGAGAGGTTCATTTTTGTCACATTTTAGCAAGCCAGTAACCCATCTATCAAGAAGGGATAATAAGTAATAACTTATTTCCATCATTTATAAAAACACAGACATCAAAATGATTAGTATACTACTTTTTGTTAGCTTTTAAAATCCATATATCTGGCCCAAGAAAATATAAAATCAAGAGACCTTATATATTTAAATGTTATTAGAATTTTTAAAACTAAATTATCTAAGATTCTAGTGGTGATAATTCTTAATATGTAGTACTTTAATTTTTCAGGAATTTTCTAGACTCCATAAATACTAATCAACAATAATAAAGTTGTCAGGTGCAAGATTAAAATACAAAAGGCCATCACTGTTGCAGAAGCCAGCAATTTTTAGTAGCAAGTCCAAATGAAATTATTGTATAAATTACACAAGAGAAAAACTAGACAACTGTGATAAAAGAAATCTAAGGAAATCCAAAAAATATTTCACACACATTATAGAGTATTTTCAAAGTTGAAACATTTTAATGCAATCCCAGGAACCTACTTTGTGTTAGAAATAACCTCAGATGCTCGTGATAGCCAATGGGCGACAAGGAGAACTGACAGTGCTATAAATTGACTATAAAGCTGGAGTAATGAAGACAGAATTGGGATGCCAACACAGGCAAATAATCAACACCACAGAATCAAGAACCTCAGCAGACACATGCAGTAAAGAAATCTGCAACAGAGCATTAGTCTTTTCATGTGTGTCAGGTCCAAAAGTCACTGGGGAATTTTATAAGTAAACATTAAGATTACCCATAAGATTTTAATTCTTTTCTTGCTTATTATTGAGTTAGCTGGGTTTCCAGTATGATTCTGAAAAGAACTGATGGGGAGCAAAATACTTACTAGTCATCTTATTAGAGGATCTAGTTCCTCACAGAGTAAATGTGATACTATTTGTAACTTCTGTAACTTTGAAGTTATAAAAAAATGTATGTATATAAGTGTGTTGCCTACATATTTGTATGTGACCACATACATACACTGACCTTGGGGCCAGAAGAAGGTGTTATAATCCTTGACCTAGAGATATGGATAGCTGTGAGCTGCCATGTGCATGCTTGGAACTGAACCCGGGTCCTCTGAAAGAACAGCTAGTGCTCTGAATTGAGCCATCTTTCAGCTTCCATAGTTATTTTTAATGGATATTAGTCAGCTTTTCTATCACTATCATAAAAATACCCAAGGAAAAGATTTGTTTTTGTTTCATAGTTTGAAAGATTCAGACTGTGGCTCTTGGCAGGGAAAACATGGTGGAACAAAGCTGCTCACCTCCATAGGGATGAAGAAGTAGAAAGAAAAGGATAGCAAGGAGGAAAAGGGAGCTTGAGGATAAGTTATACCTGTCAAAGGGTTATCCTTAGATAATTTATTTTTTCCATAAAGGCGTCTCCTACCTCTTAATCCACTCAACTGTGAATTTATCAGTAAAGTAATCCATTGATGAGATTAACACTGTTATGATCCAGTGACCTCTCTCAGAGCTACTAGTTAGGGTAAAGTCTTCAACAAATGAGCCTTTTAAGGAGGACATTTCATGTGCACACTGTAGTGTTTGTGTGTTTTATTTATGTGTGTAAATCTTCTGCTATTAATTTGCTGAGATTTTCTTATCATTTTGTTAGTTGTGTATCTGTTGGTCTGTTGATCATACTTTTCTCCCTCAAGCTGTTTGAGGTGAGAGATGACAGGCATTGAGTTTTAATGTTGATATTGCCTTGCATACCAGGAGTAAGTTGTACTTGTTCTTTTTGTGCAGTTCTTCTCATGTATTGGATTTGAATTGATATCTGTGTTCATGAGAGCTAATGGGTATATTAAGGAGAATCTGATATAATTTCTCCATTAAATGAAGTCACTAATAAACCCTCCTAGATCTGGTGCCTTTTGTTATGGAAAATTAACCATTGATTGAATCCATAAATGCAGGATTTTTTTTTCAAATGTCACATTTCTCTTTGCCTGCAGTTTTAAAAAACTATATCACTCAAGGAACTAGTTCATCTCTTATCAGAGTGGTGGACATAGACTCATAAATTCTCCTCAGTTATTTTCCTACCATTGTGATTGAGAGTGATGGACTCTTCATTACTGGTTAGAAATTTTATATAAAAACTATGTAGCAAAATATGTACAGCACTAAGCACAGCTCTGTATGTGCGTAGAATGGTTTAGACTACTGCATAAAGTTCAGACTTATTCATTTTAAACTTCTTATATATATTTTTAGGTCTCCATAGAAGCAGATTTCTTTAACTTTTTTTCAGCCTTTATTTTTTCCTTGAAATTTAACTGGTAGTTTTAAAGTAACTTCTAATTATTTCAGAGAGAAAATTCAAAAGGGAAAAGATTTACTGGTGCAACAGGATCCTTGATAAACCAAATTAATAACAGGTATAACTCAAGTGATGGCATGTTATCAACAGGAAGACTGAAGGAGCCTCGGGATCACAGGTATAGTCAGAAGTTGAGATAGGAGTATTTTTGACAGCTACAACTAAATTCGCTTGCACAGTATGAGAAAAGGTTTTAGGGACATGTTTAAATAATATAACTTTCTACTAGAAAATAATTACTAATTTTTATTACTAATAGTAGTAGCAAATTATAAGACATAGAGCATTCTAGAGTGTGATTATATTCTATAAAGTATCAAAAGTATGAAACAATAAAGTGTGGCATTCAGAGAAATCTATAAGATATAAACAACTTAGAATTTTATTTATAGAACCCTAATAAAGACTAAAGCTAAGTGTGCTAAAAATTTATTGCTTAATGAAGTATGGGGTGTCAGTGAGCTGAAATAATTTTATTAACTAGTATTTCTTGTTTGCAATATTTTTGAAATATTCTTTTTATAAACATTCATTTATAAGCTGTGAGATTGTTTATTCATGTTTAAATTTACTTTGGCCTTATGCAGTAAGAAAGAAAAGTAGTTTTCTGAATTAACTATATCTTTTACAGTGTTTAGCACTTCCTCCTATATTATTGCTGTAACTTAGATTTTAACTATGATGATTATAGTTGTTAACTATCAACCATAGTTGGAAAACTATCAGACTGATAAGAAATTTTGTGTTGGTGCTCATTTTTTTAGCATAGTTAGTTTAGTAATCCAGATATGTTTTAGTATTTATGATAGTGTTTATGAAAAATATTGTACTGGTAACTGAGTCATTCCTTAAATATTGTCACTATCTTTTTTGTAGTAGGTTTTCAAAGAAACCTGACCTGCAGTTCAACAAGGTAAGTGCTGCTTAACTTCACCAATTTCTATAGTCAGACTCAATATTTGATTGTAAGCCCTAAAATAATAGTTATAAAATGGAATTGGGGGTGGGCCTAGAGAGATGGCTCAGAGATTAAGAGTACTGGCTGCTCTTCCAAAGGACCTAGGTTCAATTCCCAGCATCCATATGGCAGCTCACAACTGTCTATAAACCCTGTTCCAGAGGATCCGACACCCTCACAGAAACATACATGCAAGCAAAACACCAATGTACATAAAATAAGAATAAATAATTTTTTAAAAAAGAAAAGAAAATTAGATTTAAGGTTATAGAATACTGCTAAATGGGATTATAACAATTGACAAATTTAGTCACAAGTTACTTAAAATAGTTCTTTTTTTTTTTTTTTTTTTTTTTTTTTTTTT